CACGTCACGGTTCGGTGACTATTTCGAAATAAGATTCGGTTGCTCTATCACTACTCCTCGTTAAACTAAAATAATTTAAACGTTGGCTCAACTGGTAAAACTTTGGGACTTATTAGTGTCTCATAAAACATTAGATGTCAAATTCAAATCCTCTCTAATGCGTTTAGAACAGTTTGGGAAGGCAAAAGTGGATGCAGATATTCAACATCACTTTTTGTTGTTTCATTTTATATATGTGTTAATCATGTTCAAAGTGGAGTTTGTTTATTTGCCCTCTTCAAGGGCGGAGCCAGGATTGTAAAGTAAGGGGGGCTAAAAATAATTAAACACATAATTGTTTAGTCTGTCATTCATGTTCTAAATACATAATTCTTATGCATCAATCATTCAATTAAACCTAACAATTTACAACCTTTTAACAAATTTACACTTCCAAACTCTAATGTGTTTTCACGGCCAAGAATCCACTGAAATATGTTTTATATAAGTATTAAAACAAACGCATGCAAGAATGCAAGATATATATATTCCTTATCAATAAATTCACATTATAAAGTAAGACCAACGTGCTCCGTCCGTGGCTAATTATTAATCCATTATATAGTAAATTACCCAATTTAACATGAACCCATCAAGTTATCAACAAAGCTTTTTAATTTTTTTTTTCAAAAATAAAAAACAATATTTCACTGAATTAATAATAATAAAACAAGATATCCATCCACCTATGCCTTAGTGACTTACACACGAAAAGTCTAGGTCTTTTTCTATAGACTAACACTGTGTTTGGTTTGCTGGGCTGGACCCTGTTATGTTTTATTATGGTTCCTTTTGTGATTGGCCTGTTCATTATTTGTGGACTTGCTCATATTTAAGGCTTAACCTTTGTAAATTTTATAACTTCTTTTATTTATAAAAATATTATGGATTGGGCTGAACTGGGTTGATAGAAAGAAAAAGAATAGCACATAGACTTATAGGAACAATATCACTAATTTTTTTTTCAATTGGACCTCAGCTATAACCCAGATTAGCCCATTACTAGTTCCTTCTGGCTCTCTTCCATTGTTGCAATAACCAATTTAGAAAAGTAGTACTGACTATCGAGAGAAAAAGTGAGGCTATGTTTGGTATGAACCACATGATATTACGTAAGGATGGATACAGGACACATCTCTAATATACACATATATATAAATAACATATACACATGTATAAATAAAAGAAAAAAAATAATTAATTCTGGAAACAAAATAAATAAATAAATTATAAATGGTGCCAAATCTAAAACCTTAATTAATTTTCAGAGAGACCCAATAGATTCCCGGATTGATTTCTTGGTTTATTAATTTTTTTTTGATTTTTTTTTTTTAACTCAACATATATTTATGATTATTGGTGAATTAAGCAAAACCTAAAACCTTAATGGTTGGTTCTGAAGATGATACAAAATCAGGAACAATATCCAAAGAATATTCACTATTTGAGAGAATGAGTAGGTCGATTACATGAAAGTTACTAAAAGAGAAGAGAAAATTTTGGTCTTGTATAAAAGATTTAGAGAGAGAGAGATTAAGAAGAGAGAAAAAGAGGGAGAAAAAAGATGTGGCAAATGACGTGTCTTAATATTAACCTTCAGATTAGTTTTGGAAAGAACAAGAGAGAAATGTCTCAAGGAGAGGATCCGTAATCCCAAACACAAAAAAATCTTCCACATTTTTTTTTTCTTTAGTCTTTCATTTCTTTTCAACCAAATTGCCCATAATAAAGAGAATTTATTGCAATTGTAGGAGATTTAGCCCACGGCGTGGCACACCCCGCATGTCATTTTGTTGGGCTCGAGTCCAACATCACCAATGATACTATGTGCCTCGACAACAAAGTTTGTAAGAAGAAATGACCCCACGAGGGCGGAGCCAAAAATTAAATTCAGAAGGCACAGTGTAAAAAAAATCAAATAATCACTACAATAAATATAGATTTTATAAATCAAGAGACAAATGAAAAAAATTACTCAAAATAATATATCAATCAATGAGTAATTTAAGAAAAATAAATAGTTAACAAAAAGTTTAAAAAGGAAAGAAAAAATAGAGAATTTTGAAAGGGAAAAAAATTGGAGTTTGTTTCAAAAAGAAAAATTTGACTTTTTTTTTAAAGAAAATTTAAAAAGTAAAAAAAAGAAGAAATACAAAATTTAAGAAATAATTTTAGAAAATAAAAATTTTAGGGGGCATTATATGATTTTTTTCATATATACATGTAAAAATTTATAAATTTAGTATATGTATTATAGTAAACGGGCCAAGCCAGGGGCACGTGCCCCGGGCATACACTGGCTCTGCCCTTGCCCACGTCCTATTCTCACCTAACCTATAGGTTTAGTAAAGAGAATGATAAGTCCACGTGCCTTGGCAACACTGATAATCATATTAATAAATTTCAGCTACAGCCACTTTTGAAAATCTGTAAATTTAATGTAATAGTACTCATCCTTGAACTAGAGAACCAGAATGCCCTTATTAAAGCTTATAGGGTCAAGATGGCTCAATGAACTTCGAGAATCACGTGAAGGTTTGAAAGTATAAATATGAGCCATATGAGCCTTTGTGCATGAAAGAAATAAGACTTTTAGTTAATGCTCCATTGTATATTGTATTTAGATACCTCTGTCATTTATAATATTGACATATTGACATATTTTAGAAAGCCCAACAACAATATATGTGCTGAAATTGGTCCATGTTTGCATTATAACTGCATTCTTTAATGGTCCCAACGGAAATTAGTGACTGATGTAGATAGGGCGTTGCTCACTCCAAGTCCCTCTCTAATTTTTTATGAAATGTTTTTTGAGGGGCAAACTACATAACTTAATAGTTTATAAATTACTAAATTAAGAGGGTCTCGTATTAATCCAAATTCAATAATCAATACAGTTTCATTTTACTATTTTTAAACTACTTCCAACCATTTATGAGCAATTTTATATATAAATAAGTAAAATCAATTTTATTGTATTGTACAATTTTTTATTTATCAGCATACTCATAAATTATGAGTCCAAATTCACCGTAATGATTCAAAAAAATAAAAATAAAAATCTCCTACCAATAAAGAATATTCACTAACATTCTAGAAAAACAAAGTCTAATATACCATTTCATAATTAGTCATACACTGATTTATTGTAATGAATTAAATCGAAAGTTTTTGACTGATTATTTATGTACAATAAAAGTAAGTGGAGGGTCCCACTCCCCTTATTTGCTGTATAGATAGACTAATTAAAATAAATAGTTCTGACAAATATTTTTTTGCCATTAGCAAGAAATTCACAAATACCCCACTTTGCTCTTTTATGAAACTTAAATTCTTACTATCTATTTTAAAAAGTAGATAAGATACCAAGATTCTTAATTAGCTCTTATAATTCAGTGGAATAAATATTTTTCTTATCAAATCACATATTTATTGTAAACAAAATGTCGGTCCAAAACATTATCCTAAGTATCCTTCAATTACTCCACCAACAAAGCAACTAATATTACTACTACAATTTAGAAAAAGACTCAATTATTGACCATTGGTTTGGTTCCACGAAACCTCCTACTCTAAAAGGTTCTCTCTAGTAGTAGAGATGCTAACACATGGAATGCCTACTTTATATCCAAAAATTGATGGACCCCATTTTCGTAATAAACCTCCACGTGGCATCTAATTGTTCTACGTGACTATTCGCCAACAATTTCTTTTGAAATTTCAAAATAGTGGAGTACTTTAAAAATTGTAACTCAAAAAATTATAAGTAATAATTCTTAAAGTATTCAACTATTTTAGTCCTAAATTGCCTTTCATCGTAAGAGTTGGCACGGTGGTGAGATAAGCACAAAATGATATTTTTACATACTATATTTTGTGTTATGATACCCACTTTACCCTTTCTTTAACACGGAGTAGTACTTGTTTTTAAGAAAGGGAGCTCCGGGAGAACGAATATTGATAATAACAACTCAAGATATCAGCCGTTCATGCTGCACCTTAGACAAAACTTAATAATATATTCGTAATGTATAAAGTTTAAACACACATCTAAAAGTTGTGTACTGTGAGATTTAAAATATAATACTATATTTCTATATTTTTTATGAATTGATACTTATTATGATTTTGTATAAACTGACACTCATATGGACCAAACTCAATTACTTATAATATGAGTGATAACACATGTCACTTGTGTTTGAATCTGTCGGATAATCCGCAATGTTAAAACACAACTAAATCAAACAAAACAATGAGATTTTGATTTTGATTTTTTTTTTTTTTTGGTAATATGATTCAATCAGATTTTAAACATGATTCCATCATATTAGAGTTGTGTCAAACTAACAAAAATAAAAATAAAATAATGTACAAGATATTATTACCATTTTCCTTGTTATGGATATTGGATAGAGTTGACCAAGGATCTTTTTATTTGGTTTCCTTTTTGTTGCACCGACCAATTTGTGAGGAGTTTTCTCCGAGAAAAAAACATCAACGGGTCAGATCAAATCTCAGCCACACAATTAACGATCCGATATTTTTGGGACTAAATGTTTTATTTATTATATAACTACTTTCTATGTATATAAATATCTATCTTTGCTAGGAAGTTTCGTGAGAGTGTAGTATCACATACAACCGAATACATTTGCACACCACCATCTCTAACAAGATCATGGCATGTCTACCTTTCATCTCTTTGTATACTTATTCTTTATACATTTTTTTGTTTGTCTCTAAAAACAAACTGACCGTCGGATCAAATCTGAGCCACACTTGTACGGTCAGATTTCTTTGAAAGACCAAGTAAATATTGATATCATAGAAGAAAGACGACGTCGTTTGATGAAGATTTGATCCATACACTAATTCAGTTTCCGTATATGCCCCTAACTAAAAAACAGTTTTCCATACATGTCACTGGGTTTTTGCCTACATAAGCATGCCCACCCCGAACCTTAAAAATCACAGAACTTTTTCATTTCCATCTCTTGCTAAATAACAGTCTCTCAAAACCCTTTCTTTCTCTATCTAAACAATCTTTTTCTCTCACTTCATTTTGTGAACCCAAATGACTCCCAATCTTGTTAATGGTACCACTAGGACCACTACTACTCTGGCCAAGGCTGCCAGCATATCGAGCCGAGCCTACGTTACATTCTTGGCGGGTAACGGCGACTACGTGAAGGGTGTGGTTGGTCTGGCCAAGGGACTCAGGAAGGTCAAAACTGCCTACCCATTAGTGGTGGCAGTTTTGCCTGATGTCCCGGAGGAGCACCGCCGCATACTGGTGTCTCAGGGCTGCATCGTTCGGGAGATTGAGCCGGTGTACCCGCCAGAGAATAGTACCGAATTTGCTATGGCATATTATGTCATCAACTACTCCAAACTTCGCATTTGGGAGGTAATCCTACGTTCCTAGTGTCTTGTTTACTTTTTGGTGAAGAGATAGAAATGCAATATTTTTCTTATAAATAGGCTCATTTTTTTAAAAAAATTAAATAACATAAATTCTCCAAATACTTTTTAGGCTTGAAATTTGATTAGGAGATTAGTTACAAAAGTCAAACGATACATTTTTTTTTTTAATTTGCAATTTATTACTTATATATTTATATATACAGATTAATTGGGTTTTTAATTGAGATATGTTGGTTTGAAATTACAGTTTGTGGAGTACAGTAAAATGATATACTTGGATGGAGACATACAAGTGTTTAAAAACATTGACCACCTGTTTGACCTTCCAAATGACTATTTCTATGCTGTGATGGACTGCTTCTGTGAGAAAACATGGAGTCATTCCAAACAGTACGAGGTTGAGTACTGCCAACAGTGCCCTAACAAGGTCCAATGGGCTTCAAAGTGGGGCCCAAAGCCTGCTCTCTACTTCAACGCTGGCTTTTTTGTGTATGAGCCCAGCCTCTCCACTTCTGATGACCTCTTGAACGCCCTCAAAGTTGCAGCTACTACCTCTTTTGCTGAGCAGGTACTAGCCACGCCCTCCAAGGCTATTTATGTCATTATTCAATTGTGATTCCTAATGCTTCAATTGATGGAGAAATTATTAGATAGTCCATGTCCATAAACATTTGGTGGACCAATTCAATTAAGACTCTTTAATATATAAAATGACATATTACAAAAAAAGTCTCAACAATGGTCCCATGAAACTAATTTTTTGATTTCGAGTGTTAATGTTGTTTATATGTTTGCAGGACTTCTTGAACATGTTCTTTAGGGATAAATATAGACCTATCTCTTCCGAATACAACCTTGTGTTGGCCATGTTGTGGCGTCACCCTGAAAACATTGACCTTGACAACGTGAAAGTTGTTCACTACTGTGCTGCTGTAAGCTGATATATATTTTTCTTTCTTTTATTCTAATTTATAAATATTACTTTTATTAAAATTTTGAAAGGGTAAATGTGTCATTTTGGTTTACAGGGTTCAAAGCCATGGAGCTACACTGGGGAAGAAGAGAACATGGAAAGGGAAGACATTAAAATGCTAGTGAAGAAGTGGCGGGATATATATGATGATGATACTTTGGATTACAATCCTAATGGAACTGAAGCTGGTGGTGCTGTTGAATTGATGACGGCATTGTCCAAAGCCCGCGGTGGTTTCCACCACCTTACGGCCCCATCTGCAGCCTAATTCATTTTTGAAAAAAATAATTTTAAGTCGAATTCGGCTTGAACCAATAGGCACAGATTCGACTAAAAAAGCAAACTCTTTATTTGTAGGGTTTGTTTTTTGAATTAAGGTGGTTATTGTAATTAGAAGAATAATGTCTTTTCATAATTTTTTTGGTTTTGATAGGGTGGTGTTTTGTTGGGTATGTCAATTTTTTTTAGACATATCTTATATATTAAGAAATGAAATAGTTATGGATTGTGAATAGAAATGTGAAATTTTATACTTTAATTTATATATGCTTCTTGATTTATTTTATTTTATTTATTTATTTTTTTATTGAATGATGCTTGTTGATTTGTTTCTCTATCTCAACCTTCTTTTGTACGAGTACGGAAGCCAAAACTGAATCAGAAATTCATAATTGAGCCATTTACGTTTATGAACACAAGTTTCAATCAGTCCATTTAAACATTCACAAAACTAACAACTTGGAATGATAAGTGGATAGAATTGATTTTAGGAATGAAGGTGTATTAAACTAACATAATTTATACATTTATAGGTTGCCTTTTCGGGAGTCTACTTTCAGTCCTCCCTTGGGTAGAATGTGCAGTTACTGTTCATGCATTGTACAAAAATTTTACCCGAACTTGCTATAGTCATATCTCCCTCGTTGCAAATCCAAATTAAGTTATTCTTGAAGCTAGACTTTATTCTTGAAGCTAGACTCAAGAATTTTGAGTTATCTTTCTAATGGTATCAGTTCCATTTTCAGATCCCATTCATATCCAGAGATTTTTTTTCGTTTTACATTATATGTTAATCATGTTCTAACAAGCTCTTCCATTGTTCCTTAAATCAATGGCAACAAGTTTAAGAATTAGGATCGGCAATAAGAAAACTAGAAGGAAAGGAGATCGTGGATAGGAGGATAGGGTAGTTTAAATCTCGTGATGTCAGTAAAGAAATGAAAATAATGATGATGAAAAAGAAATAAAAGGAAACTATTTTACTTTTATTTTTATAAATTATCTCTCTCTATAGATATATATATATTTCATTTATTTTCAACCAAATTGGCCTTAAAAGGAGAGTTTATTGCAATATATGTACTAATATTAGGCCATATTTGTATTAGATCGTGGGTAGGGTAGTATAAATCTCGTGACGTCAGTAAAGAAATGATAATAATGATGATGAAAAAGAAATAAAAGGAAACTATTTTACTTTTTTTATATAAATTATCTCCTTTATATATATATATATATATATAAATTTCATTTATTTTCAACCAAATTGGCCTTAAAAGGAGAGTTTATTGCCATATATGTACTAATATTAGGCCATATTTGCATTATAACTGCATTCTTAAATGAAAATCAATGAATGATGTAGATAGGGCGTTGCGCCCTCCAAGTCCCTATCTTGCCTTTCCAGCCACTAATTTTTTATGAAATTTCCTTTGAGAGGCAAGGCAAACTACTTGACTTTATAGTTTATAAATTACAAAATTAAGAGGATGTCTCATATTAATCCAAATTTAATAAACAATACAGTTTCATTTTACTATTTTAAAACTACTTCCAACCATTAATTATCATCAATTATATATATATAAATAAGTAAAATCAATTTTATTGTATGGTATAATTTTTTATTTATCAGACATACTAATAAATTATCAGTCCAAATTCACCGTAATGATTCAAAGCAAAAAAGAAAAATCTGCAATAAAGAATAATTGCTAACATTCTAGAAAAACAAAGTCTATATGTTATTTTATAATTAGTCAAATCACATATTTATTGTAAATAAAATGTCGGTCTAAAACATTATCCTAAATTATCTCCTTGACTAACCTTCAATTACGCCACCAACAAAGCAACTAATATAAATACTACAATTTAGAAAAAAGACTCAAAAGATTGACCATTGATTTGGTTCCACGAAACCTCCGAATTAGATCCTCTCTACTCTCTAGTAGATGCTGACACTTCACGTCGACGTTAAATGGGCCCCACTTTATCTCCCACAAATCGGCGGACCCCATTTTCCTAGTGGACGTCCACGTGGCATCTAATTGTCTGCGTGGCAATTCGCTTGCGATTTCTTTTGAAGTATAGTAAATTGATTACATGGTCTTGTTTTTCCTAGGTTTGGTCGGTGAGGGGTTGGCGAGGTGGTGAGATAACCGCCGCACAAAAAAATATGTTTTTATATTTTATGTTTTAATATACCCACTTTACCCTTTCATCAATACTACCGTTGATGCTGCTTAGGCAAAACTTAATAATATCTTCGTGATATATAAATTTTAAAAAAATGCACCTTTAAAAATTGTGTATTGTGAGATTTTAAAAAAAATTTATCTTTTTATATTGTTTTATGATTTTATATTTATTACTTTCTCTATTTTAAAATAGATACTCATATTGAAAATTGTGATTTACAAGATGAAATCTAATTTAGAATGAAAAGAGTGTTTGATTTTGTGTTAAATGGTACTCATGAACCAAACTAAATTACTCTTAACAAAGTGATAACCCAACTCAATTATGTCACTTATGTTTGAGTGTGTTTGATAATTCAAAAAATAACAACACAACTAAATCAAACAAACAAATGAGAATTTATGTTTTTTTTTTTTTTTTTTTTTTTTAATATGATTCAATCAGATTTTAAACTTGATTTGATCATGTAAAAAAAAAAAAAAAGTGTCTGTGTACAAGATATTATTACCATTTTTCTTGTTTATGGATAGAGTTGACCAAGAATCTTTTGGTACATTCACTGGTTATTTAAACATATTTAATTATTTGATTTCCTTTTTCTTGTACCGACCAATTTTTGAGGTGTTTTCTCCGGGAAAGAAACACCAATGGTCAGATCAAATCTCGGCCACACAATTAACAATCCGATATGTTTGAAACTAAATGTTTTATTTATTACAAAACTACTTTCCATGTATATAAATATCTTTGCTAGGAAGGTTCGTAAGAGTGTAGTATCACCATAAATATCTACTTTCATGAAGATTTGATCCATACACTTATTCAGTTTTCTTATATGCCCCTAATCGAAAAACAGTTTTCCATATATGTCATTGGGTTTTTGCCTATATAAGCATGCCCACCTCAAACCTCAAAAATCACCGAACTTCTTCATTTCTGTCTCTTCATAATCATAACAGTCTCTCGAAACCCTTCCTTTCTCTCTCTAAACAATCATTTCCTCTCACTTCATTTTGTGAACCCAAATGGCTCCTAATCTTGTTAATGGTATGTCCAAGGCTGCCAGCGTATCGAGCCGAGCCTACGTCACATTCTTGGCCGGTAACGGCGACTACGTGAAGGGAGTGGTTGGTCTGGCCAAGGGACTCAGGAAGGTCAAAACTGCCTACCCATTAGTGGTGGCCGTTTTGCCTGATGTCCCGGAGGAGCACCGCCGCATACTGGTGTCTCAGGGCTGCATCGTTCGGGATATTGAGCCGGTGTACCCGCCGGAGAATAGCACCAAATTCGCCATGGCCTATTATGTCATCAACTACTCCAAGCTTCGCATTTGGGAGGTAATTAATTATACTCTTACCTTCTTAATTCCTTTTTTTGGTGGTTTATATAATATTATATATACTCATTAGTTGATATATGCTGGTTTGAATTTACAGTTTGTGGAGTACAGTAGGATGATATACTTGGACGGAGACATACAAGTGTTTGAGAACATTGACCACCTGTTTGACTTACCAAATGACTATTTCTATGCTGTGATGGACTGCTTCTGTGAGAAGACGTGGAGTCACACCACACAGTACAAGTTTAAGTACTGTCAACAGTGCCCTAACAAGGTCCAATGGGCTTCAGAGTGGGGCCCAAAGCCTCCTCTCTACTTCAACGCTGGCTTTTTTGTGTATGAGCCCAGCCTCTCCACTTCTGATGACCTCTTGAACGCCCTCAAAGTTGCAGCTCCCACCTCTTTCGCTGAGCAGGTACTAGCCAGACCTAAGGTTATTTATGTCATTTTAAATTCTCTTTCCAGTATCTGTGCTATAAAACCGATGAAACTAAATTTTGATTTTGTGTTAACGTTGTTTACGGTGTGCAGGACTTCTTGAACATGTTCTTTAGGGAGAAATATAGACCCATCTCTTCGGAGTACAACCTAGTTTTGGCTATGCTGTGGCGTCACCCAGAGAACATTGACCTCAACAATGTGAAAGTTGTTCACTATTGTGCTGCTGTGAGTTGATATATATATTCTTTTCTTTTTCTAATATAATTAATTATTACTTGTCAAAATTCTAAAAGGGTAAACGTGTCATTTTGGTTTGCAGGGTTCAAAGCCATGGAGGTACACTGGGAAAGAAGAGAACATGGAAAGGGAAGACATTAAAATGCTAGTGAAGATGTGGGAGGATATATATGATGATAAGACTTTGGATTACAAGCCTAATCAAACTGAAGGTGCTGGTGCCGGTGCCGGTGCCGGTGAATTGATGGCAGCGCTGGCCAAAGCCGACGTTTTCCACCATGTCACCGCCCCATCTGCAGCCTAATGGAACTGAAGCTGGTGGTGCTGTTAAATTGATGGCGGCGTTGTTCAAAGCCCGCGGTGGTTTGCACCACGTTACCGCCCCATCTGCAGTCTAATTTATTTTTGGAAAATACTTTATTTTTGTGATTCTTTTGAGTTTTACTTTTTAAGGTTTTGAATTAAGGAATGTGCATTTTTTTGGGGTGCTTTGGTAGAGGTGTTTTGTTGGGTATGTGAAAGTATTTTGAGACATGTATATGATATATATGTTAAAAAATTAATACATTAGAAATGCTAAATCCATTTCTTCTTTACTGTAACTCATCCTTCTATATGCTTGTTGATTTCTATATCTATCTTACATCTTCCTTTTACGAAATGATTCTAATCCGAATTGTTAATCCACTTGACACGTTTGAGTGATAAGTTTAAAAAAATTGATTTGTGGGATGTATATTAATTTCATTTTCATTTAACAACTCTTCATTTACAACACTAGTACCTCAAAAATGTCCGAAGGAATGAGAAAATTGGCCACAAAACATTTCATGCTTATAACACTATTACCTTGAACTTCAACGTTGGAAGGAATGAGAAAATTGGCCACAAAACATTTCATATATGAAACAACAATGAACAAAATCCACAACCCTATATCTTAATATGCAAAGAGTAATTCAATCAAAATGTGAATGGAAAATGATATAATCGATGATTTTAGTATTAAATTTATATTTTGAGAGGAGTTACGAACAAATTTTACAACTAACTGTGAAAGGAAAATGATATAATTGATGATTTTAGTACTCTATCTTCAATGCAAAATGTTATATTTTTATGCTAAATTTATATTTTGAGATGAGTTACAGTGTTAAAATGTTATATTATTTTATATTTTGAGAGTTCATTAGAATGCCTTAATATGAAAAGTTTTTTTGAGAGTCTATTTTGATTTTTATGCTAAATTTATATTTTGAGATGAGTTACAGTGTTAAAATGTTATATTATTTCATATTTTGAGAGTTCATTAGAATGCCTTAATATGAGAAGTTTTTTTGAGAGTCTATTTTGAGTTTGAGAGGGGGACGGGAGATTTGAGAGGTTATATTTGATAATACTTTTGACAATTTCAAAATATAGGTGGTCTTTTGAGAAATTATTAGAGTATCTTATTTTTATCTACTTACTATATTTTGAGTTTGAGAGACCATTAGAGATGCTCTATATTTTGAGTTTTAGCTCCTCCTTTCTTTGCTGTCTTTCATTTTGTATATCTATTTAGTTCCTTGGCTCTCTTTTTCATCATATTGCATTAGATTTGCATAATACAAGTGCATTCTTTTGTGCCAAACAACCAATGTCTTAGTTGCTCACTCCAAGTCCCTTTCCTTGCCTTTGCTTTATATCCAATATTTTTTCAACAAACTACATAAAGTATTATTAAGAGGGTTATTAATTTTCACACATTTTATAAATTGTAGAAATTATTTATTGCAAGTATGGAATTAGTCCGACAAATTCGATCAGAAAAATTAATGATATTATTCAGATATAAAAATACACTTTTGATAATAAAAGCTCTTCTAAATAAAGTATTATTAAGAGGGTGTCTTATATATTGATTTTCACACATTTTACAAATTGTAGGAATTATTTATTATTAAGAAATGATACTCATTTGAATAATTTTAATTAATCATTTATGAAACATATAAGGAAGTATAATGTCTCACTTCCTTATATTTTGCATTCATGATTTTACACAATTTTTGGCTTAAAATATTTGTTTTCCATAACAAATTATAATTTTTTTTTTTTGATATATATATATATTAGTCCATCCGTCCAAATCAGGGGAAAATTTCCATCCAGGAAAAGAATATTCCCTCACTTTTTTTTTTTTTTTGGAAAAGTAATATTCTCTCCCTCCCTAGAAAGATCTATATACCCCCATTTTATTAGTGGTACCCATTTATTTATGGTAAAGCAAAAGTGGTTCAAAACATTATCCTAAATTGTCTCCTTAAGTAATCTTTAATTACTTTACTCAAAAATCTGACCAGAGAGACAGACTTCACGTGGTTTAATTTAGGGATGACAAAAATTTTCACTTCAGTGGGAGCAGTCTCCTTTGATTATGTAAATGATAATGAAAATGTCTCCATATTATATATATAAATGAAGACGATAATGAAATTGCTTAAAAAAATTTGATAGGCTTTTCGGTGAAAAATGAGGTTTTCGTCTCAAATCGTCTCAATCTCATCCTTAATTGATTTGATTCCCCCAAGCTACTATGTCATCCTTAGTGTAAGGGGTGAGCTAGTGTAAGGGGTGAGCACTTATCCATTTATCTAAAAGTTCGAACTATTAAGTAGTACCGCATACCCACCTATATTTATATACACTTCAACTCTTCTTTAAATCTGACGTGAAACAAATTTCACTTGTAACACCTAGCTGACTTTATTTTCTTGGTTGCCCTTGCTGGGTGAGAGTCCGCGGTGGTGACATAAGTCAAGCACTAAAATGTTTTTATTTATTATATATTAATATTCCCACTTTACCCTTTCAATATTTGAGAAAGGAAGAAGCTTATGAGAGGGAAGTACATACACGCAAGCACTATATATATTGATGATAACATGGTGGTACATAAATATCCCCTTGATCTTTTTGCTCCACTGAGACTCAATAATATCTCTTTTTTGTCTTTTGCGAAAATTTTTAACTCCATCTTTCCAATCAATAAAAATATCATACGAATGTGGTACGAGAGTTCAGTGGTTGAGTATGTGATGTTTGTGATCAAAAATTCATGTTTGAATCTCTATTTTATTAAATATCAGTTATTTTAATTTTTTTAAAAAATAAAAATAAAAATATCATACCATCTGATTCATCATAAATTTATATTTATTGTTGCTTTATATACTGTCGTCTTAGATTGTTGTTGGAATAAAAAATATATATATATATATACTTTTATTAGGGGAATTGTCAAAAATTTGTGATTAGTAAAAAAATATGTTGGTGACACATTATAATAAATACTTTTTATATTTAAATTTATTTTTTAACAATATTTTTTTAAAACAATTCTATTGCTAATTTTACAATAATATCTTTAATAGAATGTTACCATATTTAATAATAACAATTTTATTAAGAAATGAATGTAATTGATTTGTAAAAGATAAAAACAATATAATTGACTAATAAAAAAAAATTACCGAAAATATTAATTTAAAATTTAAAAAGCTCTAATTCTACCTCCATTCAAAAACTTTACTGAGCTAAATTTGATAATCATTAATAGTTAGCAAACACATCTAAGAGCAAATTTTAAAAATAAAAAGAGCAAATTTTAAAAATAAAATTCCAAACAGACTATTAGACTATTCATGACCTATCTCACTAAGCGTAAATATAATTTTACAAGTATATGGACCAAATAAATTTTTTTTTTAAGATAATACATTGTCATTCGTTAGACATACCAATAACTTAATATATCTAGCACACTTAATATCAGAATGAATAAAATCGATCTAATTATTTTTTTTGTGCACTGAAAATAATTATATTACGATCGGTCTATGGGATTTTTTTTATAATTTTTTTATTTATTTTGTAATATGATTCGGTCAGATTTTTTAACTTTATTTGATCGGATTATAAATCACTCGAAAAGTGTGCAAGATATCGTTTTCCACCTTTGTGGATAGGGGGCATTGCTTACCAAATTTAGTTACATTATTTGGTTCCCTTTTTCTTACACCATCCATTTTTGGCGCGATTTAAACGAACACCAACATTGAGGTCAAATGTGACCCCACTTATTTTTGGCACTAAATTATTTATTTATTACCATATACCACCTACTTTCTATAGATATTAATATCTTTGTTCTCTTAGTAAGTTTTGTGAATTTGTAGAATCCCAATACGAGCGAATATATATCACTTATATACATTATTAAATTTATATATATTAATTATCTAGTTGCATAATTAATAGTAGTGGTCTTATTTTCTTAGACAGTTTTGTCTCTTCAAACAAATAAAATATCCATATGACTATATGAGGCAGGATTTAAGTTTACTAATATATCCTTAACCAAAAATAAAATTTTCCAAATATGTCATTTTTTTCTTCTTTGGATTTTTGCCTATATAAGCATGGTCACCTCTAACCCCAGAAATCACCAAATTTCTCCATCATTTTTTTGTTTCTCCCACTTCTTTGTGAACCCAAATGGCTCCCGGTCTTGTTAATGGTACCACCACCACCACTCTGGCCAAGGCTGCGAGCATATCGAGCCGAGCCTACGTGACGTTCTTGGCCGGTAACGGTGACTACGTGAAGGGTGTGGTTGGTCTGGCCAAGGGACTCAGGAAGGTCAACACTACCTACCCATTAGTGGTGGCGGTTTTGCCTGACGTCCCGGAGGAGCACCGCCGCATACTGGTGTCTCAGGGCTGTATTGTTCGGGAGATTGAGCCGGTGTACCCGCCAGAGAATAGCACCAAATTCGCCATGGACTATTACGTCATCAACTACTCCAAGCTTCGCATTTGGGAGGTAATACTAATATTAACTTACCACGACTCTTATTTCCCTTATTTGATGGTTTATATATATATATATATATATATATCATACATTTATATATAGTTGGTTTGAAATTGCAGTTTGTGGAGTACAGTAAGATGATATACTTGGATGGAGACATACAAGTGTTTAAAAACATTGACCACCTGTTTGACCTTCCAAATGACTATTTCTATGCTGTGATGGACTGCTTCTGTGAGGAAACATGGAGTCACTCCAAACAGTACGAGGTTGAGTACTGCCAACAGTGCCCTAACAAGGTCCAATGGGCTTCAGAGTGGGGCCCAAAGCCTCCTCTCTACTTCAACGCTGGCTTTTTTGTGTATGAGCCCAGCCTCTCCACTTCTGATGACCTCTTGAAGGCCCTCAAAGTTGCACCTCCTACCTCTTTTGCTGAGCAGGTACTAGCCACCCCCTCCAAGGCTATTTATGTCATTTTTCAACTGTGGATTTCATTTACCAAATCTTTTATTTTTTATTTTTTTATTTGGGGTGTTTAATGTTGTTTATGTGGTACTTTGTATATATATTTGCAGGACCTTTTGAACATGTTCTTTAGGGATAAATTTAGGCCTATCTCCTCAGAGTACAACCTTGTTTTGGCCATGCTATGGCGTCACCCAGAGAACATTGACCTCAACAATGTGAAAGTTGTTCACTACTGTGCTGCAGTGAGTTTTTTTTTTTTTAAATCTAATTTTTTAAATAATACTTTTTATCAAAATTTCTGAGAGGGTAAATGTGTCATTTTGGTGTGCAGGGCTCAAAGCCATGGAGGTACACTGGGAAAGAAGAGAACATGGAAAGGGAAGACATTAAAATGTTAGTGAAGATGTGGCAGGATATATATGATGATGAAACTTTGGACTACAAGACTGAAGCTGGTGATGCCGGTGAATTGACGGCTGAGCTGTCGAAGGCCGGTGTTTTCCACCGGATTACCGCCCCATCTGCTGCCTAATTTATTTTAGGAAATAATTTTTAAGTTGGAGCAAATTCGACTTAAAAAGTAGAGGTTTTGACTTAAAAGAGTAGGACTTTATAATTTTTATTTATTTTTTCATAGTTAATACTCACACACAGATGCCCTCGTGGAGGCTTAGACCCAGTAAAGGCCACTGGCCCATTGGTGAGACCGTATAATGTTTTTGGTTTTGCTAGAGTGGTGTTTTGTTGAGTAAGTAGAGATTTTGGGACATAAAGGTTAGTATGTTAAAAATAAAAAAAATGGATAAATGTTGAATCCATTTCTTCTACTTTTTTCATCTTTGTAAGTGCTAGTTGATTTCATTTTCTATCTTAATCTTCTGATTTGAAAGCTCCAGAATTAAAGAGATGACTCGAAAATATCCCCATTCATATGTAAAACATTGTTGTCCATCACCACCAAAGCTGAATAATACTAATGCCAGCTCTATGGACATGAGAAGAAAAAGAGACTAGTATGTTGTAACAGCCAATTCTTTCTATAGGTCACATAAATGAGGTCACATCAGATAACTCATACATATTAACAAAAAGAATATATCTACAAAGAACATAGAAAAATTTATAGTTTCGCACACGTTAGAGTTGCATATGACAATCATTTCACGTGCATGTGAATATTCCACCTGGTTCTAACTTCTGGTTTCTTAAAATATTATAAAAGTTTGTAGAATATAGTAAGATGGTGTACTCAGATGGAGATATTCAAGTGTATGATAACATCGATCACCTATTTAACTTGCCGGATGGTCATTTCTATGCCGTAATGGATTGCGGCAGGTAACAGAACAATATTGAATGTGCCCTTAGATTTATTTGTGACCCTCGAGGAGCCGTACGAGGTGAAAATCTGATGGAAACAGTGATGTTATCACCGACTATGATTATCTACAGTTGATGGGGACGGAATTTGTGACGTCAACCTATAGGGTTTAACCATAGTTTTAAAAACCTAGACCTATCAGTTGATTTGTTTTAATTCATTGATTTAATCCGATATAAAAAAGAAAAGAAAAAAGAAGGGAATCGTCTTCGCAAACATGGTACTTGTCTGCTGAATAAAGTACTAGGTTATTCATTAATTAGGTAAATCATATTAAATCATCAGATTAGATGCCTTCAATGAAATCTTTTAGTAAAACGGATGTGGTATGAGTATTTTTGAGTTTTGAAACTACTGAGAGAGAAAGAAGTGACAAACTACATCATAAAGAAGGGATTTGAATAGCATGTCTTATACTATTTTTCTAATTTATAACAGGACTTCCTAAACATGTTCTTTAAGGATATATACAAACCGATACCCTCAATGTACAACCTTGTAATGGCAATATTGTGGCGCCATCCAGATAAAATCAACCTTGATGAAACAAAAGTTGTTCACTATAGTGCTTTTGCAAGTTATTTGAAGAACTCATAACTGTTACTATCCCATTCAACTTTTAATTTTCTAACTATAAAAAAGAAGATTCTCTAAAGGTATATTTTGTTTTGCATGCTTAATGTTTTCAGGGATCAAAACCATGGAAATTTACAGGAAACAAAGAAAACATGGACAAAGAAGACATAAAGATGCTAGTGAAGAAATGGTGGGACATTTACAATGACGAAACATTGGATCACAAGAGTGATGTGAGATCAGGGGATCAGGAAATGCTAGGGGAGTCCGTGAACCTACAACCATTCCTAGCGGCACTATCAAAGGCAGGCGGTGTTAACTACATTACCACCCCATCAGCTGCTTAGTGTACGCAGATACAATCCTCATGGAGGTGTATCTGCATTTATATAGGCAGACTAGTTTGGGGAAGTTGGTCTTCCTTTTTTGGAAGATTGTATATTATTTTTGTGGAGTCAGAGTCTTATTGTTGGTTGTATATGTGAATTTTTTTTGGTAAGTGGTTGTATATGTGAATATTGGGAGGTATATATCAATGTACTGGCGTGTACTGTGTAGTAATACATGACTTATATATATTTATATATTACATTAGTGTGGTGGAATCAGTCGAGTTTTTTTGAAATTTTACAGAAAATTGGTAGTTTTTCCCAAGGTCAAGCCTTTTCTTATAAGCATTAGGCCGTTCGTTCAAAAGAGCCATAGACACTTCAATGTTCTTCATTCCTGAACAGTTAAAGTTCAATAATTTCTACCACTATTCACCATTTAGCATATAGTCTATAATTTTAAGCCAATTTTCTTATCAGAATTCAATGTTCAACTTCATGGCAAAATTATTCTTCATTAAAATGGTTCAAGTTATACTGGATGTCTAGCAGGTAGCGCCCTATAGTGAAGATTTTTTATGGATGCAGTCAAAATGGCGCAAACTAACCTGAAAGAGCATTATTTCATAAATGCTTTAACATTTACCAGCAATGAGATTGTATCTTCCATAGATAAAACCCATTCCTCTCGGCCCTTAATTCATCATCATCATCATCATCCTTGTTTTTATCCCATACAAAAGGGTCAGCCACATGGATTCTTATTTTCCACTCTTCTCTATTATAGGCGGTATGTTCTACTAGATTTAATTTTTTGAAATCATTTCTTATCACTTCATTCCATGTTAGTTTTGGTCGACCTCTTTGCTCTTACCCTCTATACAAATCAATCTTCCTCTCCTCACATGTGCATCTATTGGTCCACGTTGAATCCTCCCAGATCTTAATTCCAACCCAAAAATAAACAGCTCGAGTGATATACACCCAACCACGACATATAAGGTTTATCACCAAGCAGAGGATTATGAATTTTGCAACACGACCTCCAATCAAATCATGCTTACTAGAGAAGAAATGTCGCTGGTGTGACTAAAACAATAGCTGATGATCAAGCAAAAAAGTGCAACTAATTCAAAGATAATAGAATTTGAGACAAACAAAGTATTTAGAGACCTCAACACAGTTGGTGAAAATGATTATTTATATAGTAATGGATTCATTCAAGCAGAGGCCTTAAGGACATATAAATACATCACCTGTAGGTGTTAAAAGCGCCTCAGCAGCCTCTCCTTTGGTCACTGTAGCCTCCGACTCTGCAATGTTGAACATTATTGACTGTGGAGACAGATGGTGGAGCCATCATGTTATGCCCGAGACCAAGAATGTTCCCTGGCATTGTGTTGTTGACCTGTTTAGTGATCTCATCCTGGGACTGAGTAACCATCTCCTACAATTACAAATGGTGAAAATGTTCATAAATTAGTGTGGCAGACATATGCATATATGGATAAACAATACAAAAATTTCTGCTGTTCGTTTACCTCACCAACATCTTCCTCCTCATCATCAGCATTGTTCATTCTCGGTTCAATACGCTCACCATGGAATTCCCACTGGGTATAACCTCTGTGCATCGCATATACGTATAAATGTTCTTCAACCTTATCCATTGGCCACAATGTCAAGTTTAAGCATTTACGACATGGACATCTACTCCTATTGGCTTTTTCTGTATGACATCGTGCCAACTGAATAAAGTCTCTAAGTCCCTTTACATATTTTCTGCTACACCTAAACGGTTGTTGAATCCAACTCTTATCCATCTGTGTGACACAAACAATCTCTTTTACAAGGAGATGGTAGCATTGAGAGAGAATGATCCTCTCCTTTAATTTTTCTTTCTGATATTCCAAGATGTTTATTCTATGGTTGAAAATGCATAACCTTAGTTGATAGGAACAAGCTAATGAGGATGCTCATTACAATACTCTGTGAGTGACATAGTAAGACCCTGCTTTCGACTTGCAAACTCAAAGAAAACCATATCTATTACCTGAGTAAATTCAGTCTAGGCTGCTTTCACTGAAAGCACAAGCTTGAGCTTAGGTTTTAGATTTGCCTAGCACAGCTGCACAGGACCTCATCTTATTGTTGACTAGCCCGTTACCAAAAGGGGCAAACACAGTGCACGAAGCACCCGCCGTTCCCCGTTACCAAAAAGGGCAATCCTAGTGACTAGCCCGTTACCAATATAGATAAAATTTAAAATAGTCATTTCTTTGAATAATTTTCTAATTGTTCAATAGCAAGAATCATAACTCTTACTATTGAAAATTGTACCCAAAAAATGACCTTTTTGGCATATAATGCACTTCACTGTCTTACCTATCAAAAGCAGTAAAATAATAATAATAAATAAATAAATAAATAAAAAACCACTAAAAGGAACAAGAGAAAATGTTTAATAATCAGAGAAGTCAATTATCAGTGAACTCTTAGTCTGCGAGATTAGTTTTTAAATAAAAGCATTTCTTGACCCCTTATTTTAGGGCTCACTAGTTTATTACATTAGAGTCGATGCAAAATTAGTCGCCTTCATAGGGTACGAGCCTACATCTATAGGGGAAGGCCAAGGAAACACCAAACAGATCTCTTTCAAGCATCCTACAGGTGTCATTACTGAAAAATTTCAGAAACAAATTAGCAACATATAAAATTGAACTTTCTCCTACAAACCAGAGGATGAAATTATTCACCTAGGATGTATAGAACTAATGGATAATGTAACGCGTTGGTCAGATGAATTCATCGCCCTAACAAGGCGACACGATCCTTCTGTAATGCCTGTGACAGATTGATGTCAAAGAGCTCGCATCGGATGGGCATCTCCATTTCATAGAAGGGGTTCTTTAAAACATAATCTGTGTACAGTTCATAGATATGTTTCAGGAGAGCCTCCATATGTTGTGTTCCAGGCTCACAGACAACAAAAAATTTTGTCCCTGCAAGAAAACAATCATTTCCACAATTTAATTAACACAGTGAAAGATATGCACGTAATATTTCATTCTCAAGGAGAAATTACTGTTCTTATACCAAATAGACAATGCACAGACAACCAGTTAAAATGAAACATTAGGCACCATAGAAATCCAACAGCAGAACAACTAAAAGCGGAACAGACGAACAGATAAACTATAGAACCTTGATGCTGCTCATCCTCACTAGGGATGAACATCTGCCTAGCGTGAAACTAAGCTGTTGAGTATTCATACTGTTGGACGGTCACTTAAACTGTGTACCATACATGATCTTTTACTTTCATGATTGTTCACATAAAAAGCTAAGAATGATTAACAGGTATTCCATCATGGCGAATCTTAAATTAGACTCTGGATCTTTTACGGTTTTCACTTTCAACAATGTTTTGGAGTTTGCAATCAGTTACCCTACGTATAGATTAGCTGAAACACTCTACCATTGTTTTTTTGTTTTCATATTTATCGAAAAATCTTTTCTAACAACATTTCCATCTTTAAGTAAATGCTATAATTCTAATTTTCATTATGAACTCATATATATCAGTTTGTATTACATGGATACTTTATGCTGCATGGACACTTTTAAATGAGTAAAGCACATGTAGATCATTTATTTAAATAACAACATTACAGTATCTCCTATAAAAACAATTATTTTCCATGATAATATAAGCTCCACTGCAGAAAATAGACTATATTTTTACCAATTTAAAAAATATCATTACCCAATGATCCCACCTGCGCCGGATGCAAAAGGGGAAAACCAAAGTCAGACTTAACCCTTGGCATTATTTGCACAAAATGATGCCTTGAAACTCGAGTCAATATCCTCACACTCATCAACCTGATCTTTTACCATTGCACTGACCTATGGCAATTCATGTTTCATAAATGAATAAAATAACGTTAATTATTTGAAGATAGTAGGAGGACAAGGAATGCTTTAATGTTTTTACGATCATTAAATCTTCTATCACACAAATAGTGATTCATACAACGTAAAATGACTCAATTTTAGATATTCTACAAATTTAATGGTAAACCACCCTGCACTCAATTTTAACAACTCAATGTGGCCAATAGATCTAATACCATCAGTCCTACCTATTCCAATACAACATAATCATTAAGTATACGACATCAACAAATCAAGTGCAACGAGTAAATCTAATCATATATTAGGTTGCTAAGAAATACTTCTAATATGTACAACATGTTAGTTAAATTTTCTTCACATACTTGTGACCTCGTACATTCAGATTAAGGCTTAGTTGAGTTTAATTGACATGTGTGCTCGTTGCCTCTTAGAAGAAAGAATTAAACCTCAGTCTTTGATATAAAAAAAAGTCTCAATAAGCAAATACAACAACCAACTCAACTATTATACAAATTCCTAAATCTTAAATGAATACAAGCAACCAAACACAGAGAGAAGTCATAAAAATTATCCATGTTGTACCTTTAATCACATAAACATAATTGATAGATTTACTTCCCCAGGTTCTGTTTACTCTCAACATTCTTTTTACAAGTGTCATGTTCTTTGTTTTCATCCAACCTAGCATGAATAATAAGACAGGGTTGCAAATGACAGAGTGCGAAAAATTCATAAGTAACACCCATTAGTGAGAAAATAAGAGAGAGTAGACTTAGATGGTATGAGACGGAAAGGGCAATAAAAATTAACATGGGATGAAATTATTAGAAATGATTTTAATATGGTTAATATAAAAGGTGAAATGCGGTCTTATGGAAAAGAAAGAAAAAGAAAATACACTTGGCCGACCTAATTCGCATGGGTTTAATGCAAAGAAGACGACAATGATAAAAGACCAGAACACAAAAAAATTGGAAATAGACATTAGTAAATCCCAATAAATTTCCAAATGCACAGAGCTTTTATCTGATCAAAGTGATCACAGACTCACAATATCAAACTGACCCATCTAAAATGATAGAGTCAACAGGCACCATAGCAGTGCATTTCTTCTTTTCCTAATAAGTTTTCTTGGCAAACAAACAGAAAGCGTGTGAAAATAACATGTATACAACCTGTAAATAAGAATTCATCATCATTCTTTAGAAATTGTAATCAACTAATAAATGTAAGCAGATGTACCAGTGAGAGATTGGAAGCAATGAAGATCAAATCTGTCGGCTTCAAGGAGTTCGATACCTAAGCAACCCGCGATCGGCGATAGCTGCTGAGAGATGGCGTGCATCGAATGCCATAAACTGGCCAATCTCAAGCTATCATTCGTATCCATTCGCCCAGCAGACCCATAATCCTAAATGTATTTTCACATACACATCATGATTCATAAACTTCAACAAAAAAATTACAATGTGGGTCTGTTCGTTCGGACGGAAACAAGTTCCCGGGAAATCTTTCCCGGGAAAAAAAAAGAAAAAGAAAAAAAGAAGCGAAGTCAAGATATTTACCTTGTAGAAGATGAGACCGCCTGATTTGTTGATAATGTAGAGGCTGTAAATTGCAGCCATTTGATTGTTCCGTGAACAAATAGATGCTGTTCAGTGTGTGTGAAACCCTAGGTTGTTGATCGCCAGATATGGTGTTCTGAGTCTGAGCTAGAACAAAGCTCAGACTGTGACAACGGTGAAATTACCAGAATACCCCCACTGTCATATTGTGGTTGCGAATTGCAGGCAGTAGCCACCAAATTTTATTATTATTATTTTTTGGAACCAATTTTAATGAACCATTAGGTTATGTTTGCAAGCCTATATTGAGTGGATTGATAATATAATTTAGATATACTTAAAAGAATAACTTATAAGCAAACGAGATTCAACATATTAATGAATACTTAAAATTTAAATAAGTATAAATAAATTTTTACAAGAGACTTATAGGACTTAAATTTAATTTTTAAAATTTTTTGTATTAATTTTATTGAACACCACCTTACACTCTCTTAAAATAAATAAGTCAAAGATGGAAAACAAGAATAAGTCAAATTCAAATTAGTTGTACTAGGCTTTAAAACTAAGTAAGTGACCGGTAATCATGCTCTAAGCAAAGTTAAATAGGAAAGGATTATGTCGCACTAAGCATGCTTAACGGGACAACACATCATCGTAAAGAATCTACTATTATTGAAACAAACATATTCAAAATGTATGGACTCCCAAATGACAAAAGTCATGTGTATGTACACACACACACACACATATATATATATATATATATCAGAAAAATAAATAAATAAATAAAATTGAGTCCACAGGAAGCCATATATATAAAATCCCTACCTATATGCTGCTATACCTACGCTTCAAATGAATGACTAATAAAAACCATGCAACTTTTGATTGAAAGGTGAAAGTTTCTTTTTAGTTTTAAAATGTATCACCAAAGAAGGAAATTTTACCTTCGCTAAAACAAGACAAGTTTGTCTCAATTCAAGTGGAGTGAACTTCACTAAGAGGCTAAAAGGCTATGTATGCTCCGAATAATTAGGAAGGTGTTTTTTTATAACTAATTGTAAATTTTAAATCTTCAAAACTCACAATAAATTAGAGAGAAAATAAAGTAAAAGACCATATAGACAAACTTCAAATCCTATGTCTCTATTGTTGTAACAATGGTCATTTGTTCCACATCGAATTCGGATGAGAAAGTGATTAGGTGTAAATGAGTAAGTATGCAGCACTACCCAACAACTTAAGTTTTTGGATAAATAGACAAGCGTTCACCAGTTATAAGTAGTATCAGAATAGTGTGACCCGAGCTGCAACGAGGGCGTTACAAGTTTGGGTGGGGGAGAATGTAATAAGGGTCATTTGTGTTACATCGAATCCGAACGAAAAAGTAATTGAATATAAATAAGTGGGTATGTAACACTACCCAACAGTGTTTGCCTCCTTAAGTTTGGTTTTTACACTCCTAATTCATATGCATTTTCTTTAAGTTAATACCTGTTATTGTTCTTCAAGGCATCTGTGCACTTAGGAAATTTAACTCCCTCAGTTAATAGTAAATACCTCTGTAATTATTTCACAGTCAACCTTGCCTGGAATTGTACAGACAACCAGAAAAAGTTACCTTCAACCAATCAAGCCAAAGCTGGTGATGACAAATTTTGCATTTTAGCTTTCAAAATTCAATGCACAATACTTTGGAATGGGAAACAATGAAAACATTCTTTCCGTATAACAGTGACTCAAAACACATAGTACCACAAAAACAATTTCACAGGCACAATGGTTCACACTCATACACACACTCATATACTATGAATCACAACAAAATTATGCATAAAAAATTAAAAAAAAAAAAAAATTACATGCCTCAAGTCTCAAGAGGCCTTGACTTCCATTTGAAGATCTGAAAATAAATTTATTTGTTTACAATACTAAACTTTTGAATATTGTTCTAGACTAGTAAGCGGACCTTCCTTCCCTCTCAGCTTCTTCTTACAGTCAAAACTCACTAGCCTTGATAATGTCGGTTTGGTTTCTCTAAGCTTTTCAGATCTATCTAAGCTTTTCGCCTGCAACCATTTGTTGGAGAAGGTAATGCATCGCAGCCTAATAGCTGTCATATCTTTAATAATTCTCGGAAACTGGAGTCTTTCCTCCCCGTCGGTGGCTCTTATTATCCCACTTAATTTTTAAAATTTTAACATGCAAGTGGGATAATAAAAGCCATCGAAGTCGAAGAAAGAATACAGTTTAAGAGAATTATTAAAGATATGGCAGCTATTAGCCTGCGACGCATCACTTTCTCCTACCAAGAAGAATGCAGTGGAAGGAAACCGCCGACGATGAAAAGCTTGAAAAACCCTAGATAGATCCTGCTAGAGATCCTGCAACTGATAACATCAAAGAGAAAGAAAAAGGGGTAAGAAGAAAAGGAAGTCACATTTCATATCCACTAATAATAAGCACTAGAAATCAAATTCAAAATAGTCACCACAAAGAGTTGAGGCAAACTATACCTTAAATTTATGTTTTTTTCCTCCTCCTTTTTCTGGGAACAAATTCTAACATTAACATTGTATGAAACAAACACAAATGACAGAAGAGAGAGAGAGCTTGGAATGAATCTTTCTATCTCAGAAGAGGCCTACTTTATAGAAGGTTGGAACTAAGTAAAGACTATGTTGGATCCAACTATGTGAATCTTAAGTGAGACTATGTTCAATGAATCCTTGAACTTCCATTATTGAATATGGGTTTGATGTTAACATCCAAACCAGTGATATTTCTTTGCCGACTTTTCTTAGTGCATGTTGGTGTTATTTTTGCTCTGAGGGTCCCAACATATATGGCTCACAATTCACGTGAGAATTGTTTATATTTTACTGAAAATATCTCTATCGTGCTCTATAGATCACTATACTCTGTGATTAGGAATTTGTGTCTTTTCTATTAAAAGACAGCTTGATTGGCTGCCATCATAAGCTTTTGTTACTCCAAATAAAAAAAAATAAAAAAATGACCTCTCTTTGTATTTTTAAAGTACTATAATTGATTTCCTGCTACAATTGCATCCATTTAGTTCATGATATTGAATCTAACTGACGAAATAAACTTCAAATTAACATGAGATTGGACATTGTATGTGTGGAGAGAATCTGTGCATCATGCGGTCATCTAAAGATACCAAAATAATGTTGTTTAAGTGTGTTGGCGTGGAGCTCAATGCGGCCGTGTTGTGCTTCTTGCCTACGCATTAGACTCCATGCAATGCACTCAAATTGCACCAATTTGGTGCCTTTTGGGTGCATCAGATGGTGCACAAATTCCCTCCACACGTGAGAGAATCCTGAACGGTGGAGATCTGTGCATTATGCGATGCACCCAAAGATGGCAAAATAATGTTGTTTAAGTGTGCTTGCGTGGAGCTCGATCAATGCGGGCATGTTGTGTTTCTTGCCTATGCATTAGACTCTATGTCGATGCACTCAAATTGCACCAATTTGGTGCCTTTTGGGTGTATCAGATGGTGCACAAATCACCTCCACACATGAAAGAATCTTGAACGGTGTAGATCTGTGCATCATGCGGTGCACCCAAGGACACCAAAATAATGTTGTTTAAGTGCGCTAGGGTGGAGCTCAATGTGGCCGTGTTGTGCTTCTTGCCTATGCATTAGACTCCATGTTGATGCACTCAAATTGCCGCACGGATGGTGCACAAATCCCCTCCACACATGAGAGAATCTTGATCGGTGGAGATATGTGTATCATGCAGTGCACCCAAAGAAACCAAAATAATGTTATTGAAGTGTGTTGGCGTGGAGCTCAATGCAGCCCCGTGTTGTGTTTCTTGCCTAAGCATTAGACATGGAGTCGATGCACTCAAACCGCAACAATTTGGTGCCTTTTGGGTGCATCAAATGGTACACAAATTCCCTCCACACATGAGAGAATCTAGGTCTCTCATGAGGTGGGTTTGATATGGCTCCCTGTCATACAAATAAAGGGTTGGAAGTAGTGTAAAAAAATAGTTAAATTGAAACGGATTATTAAATAGGGTATAGGCTGGTACTTGAGGCCTGACCTTTACTAGGTACTCTAACATTAATGTCACACCTAACCATTGCCAGATAAAAAAAAGTAATCCATAAAAAGTCATTTAAGTCTTTCAAAAGAAATTCCATAGAAAAATCAGTGGATAGAAAGGTAAGACATGCAAGGAAGAGACTTGGGAGTGAGCAACTATCAGTCTTGTGGATAACCGCCGCAAATTGTGGTCTCTGGGTTGCATCAATAGCTATACCTGTCGCAGACCTGTTCCTATGTCAAAAACTTCTCCAAGCAAGAATGCATGATATTTTATAGGCATGAAAACATTTGTATGTCTAGGCATTACTCTCACTAACATAATCACTCCCAATAACACAAAATTAACAAATAATCAAGTTTAATTTAACACCTCCTTATTATTATCTTTTTTCTCCTCCAAGTAATTAAACTTCTTAACTTAGAAAATTCTTCAAACTTGAGGGACTTCGTGAAAATATCCGCAATCTGGTCTTGTGGCTTCATGAACTTAATATTCACTTCTTTCTTAGTTAGGTCGAAAGATCTCGATTGACTCGATCTTCTTGTGGAATGTGTAATTCCTTCAACAAATTTCTCAGACTAAATTTGTTGCATTTTAAATTTCAAAATTCTTAAAATTCATTGTACAATAGTTTGGGATGGGGAGCCAGCCAAGAAAACTGGTTCGCTTACAAAAGTGACTCCAAACACGTTGTATCACAAAATAATTGCATAAGCACAATGTTCACATTCATATATATACTATGAATCACAACAAAATATATGATGCATAAATAAAGACATGTTTTCAACTCTCAAGAGGCCTTGACTTCCATTTGAACCTACCAAGATTGCAAATTGAATGTGGCTAGGAGTGCTATGTATGCTCCAAACAAGGAACAAATATACATATGTTGAATTTGGGTAACTAATTTAAAATTTTAAACCAACGCTTTTATAAATTTAAAATCTTCAAAATTCTCAATTAAGAGATAAATAAAGTAAGTAAAAGGGCCATAAAACCAAACCTCAGAAGCCTACATCTGGATATCCGGCCTGCAGTCTTAACCAATCACAAACCACAAACTCAATTCATCACCCATGCATTTGAAAATTCATGAGCAAAAGCTTCAATTTTGCCTTATTAGGGTTTAGTTTTTGCACTCCTAATTCATATTCATTTTCTTTGAATTAATACCTTTTTATTGTTCTTCAAGGCATCTGTGCATTTACGAATTTAACCACCTGAGTTAATACCTCTGTATGTATTTCATATTCACCCTTCGCTGGCCGGAATAAGAATTGCACGGACAGCCATCAAAAGTTAGCTTCATAACCTACCCATCACATCATATATATATATATGCATTCACATTAAAAAAAATAAATAAATAAATAAATAGTTACAGGCACAATGTTCACACTCATACATACATTATGAATCACAACAAAATTATGCATAAAAAAAAATAGACATGCCCACAAGTTCCATCTTAAGATTTGAAAGATCAATTTATTAGTAGTAGTTTACCAATTCTGTACAATTGATCCACATAAAGCTAGCTAAAGTTAAGAAATTTGCTGCAACAGCTTCTACACTTGTAAGCAGACCTTCCTTCCCTCCCTACCTCTCAGCTAGCTTTACAAATGGAGTCGGTTTTGGATTCTCAAACCGGTCCGGTCTACTTTCTTCCACGCACTGCAATTTTTATTTTTTTTTGTAGGAGAAAGTGATGCGCCGTAGGCTATTAGCTGACTTATCTTTAATAATTCTTCGAAACTTGCTGTAGTCTTTCGTCCACGCCGCTGGCTCTTATCATCCCACAATTTTTATATTCCGGCGAGTGGGATTATAAGAGCCATCGATGCAAACGAAAGAATACAGTTTAGGAGAATTATTAAAGATATGGCAGCTAATAGCCTACGGTGCGTGACTTTCTCCTACAAGAAAGAATTCAGTGAAGATGTTGAAAAGCTCGAAAACCCTAGATACATCTTGCTACAGCAACTGATAACATCAAAGAGAAAGAAAGAGGGGTCACATTTCATATATATAAACTATATATATATATATATATATATATATATATATTTTGACAATATAAACTATATATTTAGTGAGCACTTGAAATCAAATTCAATATAATTAAAAATAGTTGAAGCAAACGATACCTTCTTCTTCTTCTTCTTCATTTTTTCTGGGAATGAAGCTCGTCTGTGTCAGGATAGGTTTTTTTATAGGAAGGTTGGATCTGAGGAAAGACACACCTGGTTGGTTAATACGCGTATGGCGGCGTGTATAAATGTGGGTCCTGTACATATAAGACTCGGTCCTGCCGACTAGATTCACGTCAGCTTTGACATGAGCAATGATGTCAGTAATGACATCAGCATAAAGTGTGTGAGAATTAGTGTTTGGTTTTAACAATTTCGGTGTATCCCAAAATATTTGTCCCAAATTGTGACTCAGTAGTCAGTATTTTAGGCCATTAACTTGCTTTAGTGAGGAATTATTTAGTTTCAAAATTTATATGTATGTATGTATGTGTATATATATGTGTGTATAATAATAAATAAGAATAAAGTGTGTGTGTGTTTTGTATGTACAGCGATACATTAATGTATGAATAAAAAGTTTTTGTTTTTTTTAATTTATTTTTTTATTTTGTGTGTTATTTGGCTAACATTTTACTACCTGTTGTCCCTTTTTAAGAATGCATTGTTAGGAATGATTCCAATAAAAGGAATTCAAAATTAGAAAGGTGTTTGGTGAAAATATTTTTTCCAAAGGCATTCGAGAGTTTACAATATTTTTTAATTCAAACTATTGATTTTCCATTTACAAGATTACCCGCCCATAATTGAATTAGGTCAATGCCAAACCCTATATATACATATCACAGGGAAAAAAAAACTTGTTAAAGATATCTTAACTTCACTCGTTACTATATTCTCGGAATATGTTAAATTCTGGACCAAGCTGCGAACTCAAATTCGTTGGACGTAAAGACGTAAAGAAAGTTCAACGGATACAAAAAATCAAAAGATTTGGATAAACTTAAGGAGGCTGAGCTAATTATTACCGCTCTCTCCAATGATTCTTTCAATTCGTAATAGCCTAATAGGCTAGGAGCATAATCGATTTTATAATAGAATACTATCACCATTAATAGTCCTATAAAAGGGTAATCGATCAACCTAAAAAAAGTTTGTCAAAAATTCAATACGTTATCTTGATATAAAATGGTTCAATAGCTAATTTGACTGTAGTATATTACCCACACTGGTGCTTGCCTAGATCACTGCAACACTTATGATTTCTTGTATAACACTTGCTTTATTATTGTAATTTGACTGTTGTATAATTTTTTTTTATTTTTACCATGTGGTTTACTTGTTCGTATTTTTATTTCAGTAGTTAAAAAGTGAAATTATTTGCATTGTTTTTTTTTTTTTTTTTTTTTGGCGCGACTATTTCTTGGATAATGAAAATCATGTTAAATGTCATAGGTATTGCACCATTCTTTCTTCTCTCCCTCTGTCATTTTATGTGTTCTTTCTTATTAATTTATTTATAAATAAAATACTTGGCATACAAGATATTTATTTAAGTTTTGTTTGAATAAACAAGAGAGAAAAGAAAGAGAAATGATAACATTAGTAATAATAGAAAAGAAAAGAAAAGATAACCATAATATATATTCTTGTTTGAATAAATTGTGAGGGAAAAAATAGGAGAGGATATTGGGAAAAAGGTAAAGGAGGAAAATAAAAAGAAATTATTTTAACTAAATTACTATCATATCTTAATGTTAAGGCGGGATCCAAATGACTTTTAAATTTCTTTCGCTAAAATGTTAAGATTATTTTCTGTATTGTGAAAGTACCACTTAAGTTATAATCATACCACTTCTTAAATCTTTCCACTCTTAAAAAGATGACATTTCAATTTTTTTTTTTTTTTTTTCTTTTTCTCGTCAGCAAACCAAATATGAAAATCACTATCCATCCTTTCTTATGTTTTCTTTTCCTTCCAATTACATCAATACAAACAAAGTCTTACTAACTCAAAATTAAGATTTCCCCAATAAATTTTGTACATAGGTAATATAATAAAATTAAGGTTTTAGAATATAATGCAACCAAAAAAAAATTACTAGATTATTAAAAATTACAGATGCAAAGGTTCGAAACTGAGCTATCTCAAAGACAACGATGTGAACTTTTTCTCTGCCGACTTTTCTTTATGCATGTTGGGTACTATGATTACTATTTTTACCATGTGGCCCCACAAATCACGTGAGATTGGGTTATTTTCCACCGAAATGTCTCTATCTTTTGGGGAATTGGGGTTGGGGGTGTCTCTCTATCTGGGCTCTATTAGTTATAGTACTCTATAGGGTCAATTTTGTCAACTTAGCCATGGTAACAATAATTGGAATTTATGTTACGGTTTTGGTAAACGATAGGCTGATTTAAGGAGAAAATTTTGGTTGCGTCTTTATGTTGCAATATATGATCATATATGCTTAGTTGTACGGTACAATGAAATTTTTGTTCCAATTAACAGTCTGTTTGTGTTTTCCAAGTGTTACAATTGAATTCGTGTTACCATTGGGGACACAAAAAGTAGCTCTGTTTTGTGTTTTCAAAGTGATATCAAAAACTTCCAGTTACAATTGCGGCCACCGACAGGCTTAATATTAGGAAATCAATGGCAGAAGATGTGGCGGTTTCTCTCTTAGAAAATAAGAACCAAAGATGCAGTAGCTTAGTCTGGGCACAAATCGCCAGTTGTGAGAATCATATTCGGTCTCTTATAGTGAGTTTTAAGTAGCTTATATTTTGCAGACTAAGTAATGTCACATACAAACGTAACTCAATTTAACATACTGTGTTTGGCAATTACACCATCATTTATAAATAACATTTCACCATCATTTATAAGTATCTTCACCCTCAAATTAAGGTATATACATAAAAATTAAGGTATATACATAAATAGTGATATTACTTTTAGACTCTGGTGATATTACTTTTTAGACTCATATAATGTTATTTATAAATAATGTTGTAATTGTCAAACATAGTCTCAATTGTCAAATGGTGGTGAACGACATGACCAAATATAAATTACATAGAAACTCACTGCAAGGGACCGTATTAAAATCCACAACAGAAGATTTGTGCCTAGTATACCAATTTTGATTTGAACATTTGCCAAATAATCAAAATTTTCATTTAAATCCTTAATATCCATTTAACTATCTGTTGAAAACCCAAATTTATCCTTTATATAATACCATTTTATTCTTCTTTATTTCTTTTCTCTTTTTTATAATATTGAAAATGTAAAACTCATGATGAGAAGTAAGGGAAAAGGTAAAACACCATGTGACCAACTTATATTTTTTATGTATGAAGATAAGTGGACACGTACTCATTTGTCCCACTTACCACTTAAGACTAAAACATTTAACCTACCACTTAGCTGAGAATTGGCTTTTTGTCGCCACCTCTCACTGCCATTCATTTGTACAGATGTTGTTGGCTTTGTATACATTTATATTTACGATTTTTAAAATTCGTATTCCAGTAGAGTTGTTTTTTAGTAGCCAATGATGGATCCTGGATTTTTTTTAACAGGGGCGCTGTTGAAGAAAAAAAAAATTTTGAAGATAAATTTTTACAATAAAATAATAAATATAAGAATTTAATTTTTTGTAACTTGTCTAACTCAAATTTTTTGATTTTTTAACCATATCTGTGATTTCTAAATTATCTTTGATGTGGGACGTGAAAAACAAGAAATTCAATTTACTTTACGTTTTTTTGGATCTAAAACGCAAGAATATATATAGTGGGTATTTTTTAAAAGTAAATGGAAATATCAAAGTGTGTAAAAGATAATTATGAAGAGAGTGAAATAAAAAAAAATTTATTATCTTTTGTATCCAAAAAACCAGTTGGGGCAACAATGTGAAGTGTTGTATTTTTACAAATTGAAGGGGCATTTTTAAAACTTTTACAAATTGAGAGGGGGCATTTTCAAAATTTTAACAAAAAATATAGGTAATGCGCCCCCATTAGTCCTTAACCAGGTCTGTGCCTGCTAGTAGCGCTAGGAATGTGTATTCTCTCCTAGACAAAATCATGTACTTTTATTCTTCTTAGACTCCTCATTAGCCTTTAAATTTTTATTGTTTAAAGGACAATACTTAAGCCGTCCTCGTCGTTGATGTGAACTAATAAAAAATAAACTTGTTTTCGTTCATTACCAAATTAAAAATGGTGTATGTACTCATTATCTCTTATATGGTAAGTGAGAATGTATCACAACATCTCTGATTTGGTAATTGAAGAAACCGTATTCATTTTTTATTACTCCATACAATATTTATTTTTTATTGTGTGTGTGTAAAATATGTGTCTTTTGACTATCTTATAGTTAACAAAAAAATAGAATCCTAAGCTATCACGGGAATCACTAATACAACAATATTGTGGTAAACAGGCGTTGTTATCCATTTTATTTATTAGTTATATATAATTTTAACTAAAAGTGAATTATATTTTTATTTTTACGTAATTTTAATCAAAAGGTGGAGGTTTCGAGTCCTTATAAGAGGAAAATGGATGTGCAAGTGTGTACATACCAAACAGCAACTAGTAACGATACTTAGACTGAAGTGTCAAAGTGATTTACTTGACCTATAACCAATCAAAAATTGTAGATCAAGCAGATCATTTTAACTAATCCACCTACAAATCATCTTCCAACCGCAATGACTGGATTCATGATCCAAGCAGATCTATAACATTATTGGATCCAAGCAGATCTATAACATTACTGGATTCAGACCTACTTGAATTTTCACAGATTTGGTCCACAACGTTAAAGTAACAAAAAAATTAAGCTCCTATATATGGACCCAAAATATCATACCACATTCTGGAGTGGCCCAAAATTGATATTAAAAGATAGGCCCATCTGATTCACACCAGCCCACCAAAATACCAATAAGTACTCGTACTACAACTACTAAAAACACTACCGAAGAGAGTAAACAATAGTTACTACTATGAGGCATTCACTCTCTCCTCTTTGCTTTCACTCCTCCTGTTTCTTCTTCTCAATCGCTGCTGCTTGTCTCTTCCTCTCTCTACCAAATGCAGTTCTTTCTCTCTCTAGAGCTCCCGTCATTTTCAATTTCGGCGATTCCAACTCGGACACCGGCGGACTCGTCGCCGGACTCGGTTTTACCGTCAATTTGCCGAATGGCCGTTCTTTTTTCCGCAGATCAACCGGTCGACTCTCCGATGGACGCCTCGTCATCGATTTCCTCTGTAAGTGTCCCCACTCTCTCTCTCTCTATATATGTATACATATATATATATATATATCAAATTATCATACACGCATTATTTACTCCGTCATGTTTCAAATGGATATGTAGTTTCATTGTTGTATTGTTCGTTAGATACGACGTCGTTTCGCTGGGACCTAGGATTCTGGGCTGGGCTCTGGTAGTCCCAGTTTGCCTGTCGATCTCGTGATCACCTAGAAACTTATGGATCTGAACCCTGTTTTTAAGTCCGGGATTGAATTTAGCGCAGCTGGGGTCCTCTATTTAAACACATTAATATTCGGAAGAAGGCTTGGTACTGCTGGGCCTTACCCTATCTATGATCACCTCCACGTGTATGGTGAAGAATGCTTTACCTCTGTATGTGGGCCCGTTTGACATTCTTGTTGTAAGTGGAATAACGTATCTATCTTCCTGCTTTAAATCTTCAAATACAAAAAAATAATAATAATAATGCTAAATATTTATGATATTTAATATATTTGGGCCCCTTTTAGAACAATGATGCTTTTGTGTAACATGCATTGAACTGAATTTGAAGCAATCATATAATAAAATTGAACTATTTAGATAGGTTTTTTTTTTTAGGTCTATGTCAAAATAAAGGTGGAACACTTGGTCATGGTGCAGTCCTGGACCATTAACACTCTATGGACCAATTCAATTCAGGTCATTCGATTGAGAAAATAGGTTCATAAGAATGTATTAATATATTATAAAGAAACATCAATTAACAATTTGAATTGAATTGGTCCATTTGTGTCAAATGGTCCAGTATCATCTAATAATTTCTCAAAGAATCGAAAATTTAAAGCGGGCTATTTGTGTACGGGGTGAACCAAAATCTAGGATACAGTGCAAAACTATATGTTCTTCCCTCCGTCCCTTATTAGTAGTCCATTTTTCTTTTTTTACATGTTCTAAATTAGCTGTCCTCTTTGAAAAATTAAAACATCTTTTTTTTATATTTTCATCATTATCCTTTATCTTTTTTAAAAATATTAAACTTTGTAACTATATATATTTAACTTAAAAAGGACAATTTGATAATTTTAAAAAAAGACAATGCATTAATTACATGTCAAGTTATAAAACAAAAAATGGACAACCAAAAAGAGTAAATGTGTGAACTCTTACAAAATTGATCGGCATTGTTGACCATGAGCGCGCCTCATCAGACATTTGCTCTTTTTCACTTTATTAACGTGATGGCATGGTCTAGGAGATCCAAAAAGGCCAAAACCGCGGTGCTCCAATAGGACCAATACATATAAAGTTGTATATTATATGTTATTCTTTTGTTTTTTTTGGATAGCAGAGCATATAATATTTTTGACATTATTCGTGCAGGCCGAAGTGTGAACACGAGCTTCCTGAGCCCATACCTGGACTCACTGGGGTCCACGTTCGCGAATGGGGCAAATTTTGCAGTGGTGGGGTCCTCTACCCTTCCAAAGTATCAACCTTTTTCATTGAATATTCAGGTTATGCAGTTTCTTCATTTTAAGGATCGTTCCCTTCAACTTGTTAAAGCAGGTAATTTCTCATCTCATGTTACTCTCTATTTGAATGGTATTGTTCATTTGATTGTAACATCAAATCACATGAACTTGAAATAAGAATAAATAAATTAAATTAAGTTAATTGCTCAGTTCGATTGTTGAAAAAAAAAAAAACTTGAAATAGGAGGCTTAGTTTTATACATTGTATATGTTCTTGGTTTTTTTTTTAGAATACCGTTCGCCGCTATCCTGCTAGGAGAGGGAATAAAAGTCGGTTGCTGACATTATTCTCGACGGTCTGTTCATATCTCAAACAAATAGAATGAGATAAAATAAAATACTAACAACTTACATTGCTTCACTTCTTAAGCAATTTCAAATGCATTCTGCTTTTCTGATAGGCAATGTTGGAACTCAAAGTTCACTAGGCACAAATTGGAGTCTTTAAACACCTCTGGTCTTTGGTTCTAGACAATCACAAGGCATCGGAAACCTTAAAGCCCAATTGAAGGCCCTAGCGACATCAAGAAGATAATTTTTGGTTACTTCTATCAACTTTTAGCAAATGGCTAGGTCAAAAACTCGAAATATAAATTGTTTCTGAACCATGATTAATATCGTTTCAGATTATAAATATCTGCTTAAGTCTCATAAAGAATTGTTATTATTCTGCGCTTGAAAATTGATATAAATATCTAAATGTATTTCTTACACCGTTAAACTTTAATTTAGGTTCAAGACATTTGATTGATGATAAAGGGTTCCGCAATGCACTTTACATGATTGATATTGGGCAAAATGACCTCTCCGATTCATTCGCTAAAAACCTCTCATATGTGCAAGTTATCAAAAGCATCCCGACGATACTTACAGAAATCAAGAATGCTATTAAGGTGAGTATACATTTACACAGAAGATGCTAAATCTACTTGCAGACCGTAACAATTTAGCATCTTACATGATTTACATCTTCCCTACGCCTACTTTCAAAACATTAAGCCCCGGTTACCAAGCATTATACTGAGAACCTGAGAACCTGTTATTTTGCTTTAATTGAATATATATATATATATATATATATATATATCAATTTTGTGAAATCATTAAATTTACATGTTTCTTCGAATTTGTTTTCTTAATGAATATATCACTTTAGTCGAAATTTTTGTATCAAATGTAGGCCATATTTGATGAAGGTGGCCGGAATTTCTGGGTCCACAACACTGGGCCATTGGGTTGTCTCCCTCAAAAGCTTTCTTTAGCTCAAAAGAGTCCCAAAGATCTTGATCCCCATGGATGTCTTTCAAGTTATAATGCAGCTGCCGGAGTTTTTAATGAAGGACTACGCGAATTATGCCAAGAAATGAGATCTGAAATGAAGGATGCTATGATTGTCTATGTAGATATATATGCCATCAAGTACGATCTAATTGCCAACTCTAGCAAATACGGTAAGCTTATTAAATTTATCTTTCTTCCAATTAGTGAGTTAAAAAATTTCCAACCCTTTTTATGCTGCAGTCGTGGTGATTGGGATCAGAGTTAATTTGCGGGTGCTTAGAACATTCATGTGATAGTAAGATGCATCCAGAGAGCTGGAGGATCCTCGTAAACTTTAATTGTCTTGCAAGAGTTCCAGATGAAAAAACAAAAACCAAAAAAACAAAAGGATTTTAAGAACTAGATATATAAAAGTATTCCATCTAGGATGAATTAAGTTCGTTGTGTGGACAATTTTATTTAGATTTTTTCTTTCTTTCTTCTTTTTTTTTTTTGGGGGAATGGTAAAGCAAACACGCACCCTTTTTGCCAACGTCTACGCTCAAACCTCTCCCCTCTTCTTCGAGGTGGGAAGGTTATACCATTGAGCCACAGGTCCTTTGGTTTATTTAAACCTTTTTGTGCTAACAAATTATCAATTGAAGGATTTTGATTACTTCAATTTTGTAGGTTTTGACGTATCAAGATATTAGTACCTTAAAAGTTGTTAGTACTCTCCGATTTAGAATTTTTTTCTTTCTTAGTTGGTACTTACACACACATGCCTCCACTGAGGCTTGAACCCGTGAGCTCTCTTTGGGAAGTAAGGATCTGGTACCGTTAGGCCACTGACTGGCCTATTGGTTCCGATTTAGATATTTTCCTTCCTCATTTTTTTTCTTCTATAACATTGATCCAATGCAAGTTCACTCAACTTGTGCAAATTCTCAAAATGCTACTGGAATCAAAATTGCAGTGTTTGATGGATATTCCAACTTAGTTGAGAAATCTTTTCAAGAAAAAAAAACAAAGCTTGACATGTTTAATAGCTTTTGTTCTTATTTCACCTTCCAGGTTTCTCAAATCCACTAATGGCGTGTTGCGGCTATGGAGGACCACCGTACAACTATAACATTCAGGTAACGTGTGGTCGGACTGGCTACCAAGTCTGCAACTTGGGATCTCGATATATAAGTTGGGATGGAATCCATTACAGCGAAGCAGCGAACACCATTATAGCCTCCAAAATACTTTCCATGGCCTATTCAACACCCAGCGTCGCATTTGATTTCTTTTGCCTTGCATGATTATTCGTCGAGACATTTTGGTATCATTATTTAATTTGTTGCAAAAATGCATGGTGAAGTGTTTATGAAAATGGAACTGTTTAGGGTTTCTCATTGCTTTTGGTAGATTCAGGTTTTGCTTTACCTTTGAAATGTCAGACCTAACAGGAATATATCACAAAATTGTTCTGTTTCAAAGTGACAAAACTTATAGTTGAGGTTTTGATGAAGAGAATATTAGGTCATAAGAAATTACACTGGTAGCGAATTTTGACACGGACCGGGTACACAAACTCTCGAGATGTATATTCTCGATAAATTCAATTGTGTTTCACATCATTCTTAGTTGAGTTTATATGTCATTTCGTTCAATTGAGTCTCATATCACTCTTAATTGAGTGTATGCGAGTCTATGATTCTCTTAAACTCTTAGATTTTTTAAAATCCTATATATATATATATATATATTTATTTATTTATTTACACACCCCACTATCAACATAAACTTTTACATTAGATTCGCTGTCACTCTTTTATAACTTCAGGACCACACACGTGCTTGTTCACACTGAATTCTAAACACATTTAATTTTTTCTCACATTCACAATAGACTAGCAAACAAACTTGTAGAAATTCTAATCACATGTACATGTTCACATTGCACGCATGTTTTACACATTGACACATTTAATTTACTATAAATAAACTTGTAATCCCAACATTAGTTTCTATCAACTCATTGAGGTTGGTTGGAACACTTGAGCTTCATTTTTAGTTGGAAACTTCTGGAATTTACTAAAAATAATACGAAATATATATATATAATATAACAATTATAAAATTCAAAAGACAAAAAAAAAAAAAAAAATATTCAAGTACGCACGATAAAAAGAAGAATGTTAAGAGTAGAAGAAGAAAAAGAAAAATGAGAGCACTGTAAAAGGAAAAAGTTAAGAAGTTAGGAAGGAAATTTTGACTTAGTCTGTGAAGGAAATTTAAGAAATTTGAAGCGTAAAAGAAAAAATAAAGAGATAATTTTTTTTATATATATTAAAAAAATTTACCACATATATTATAGAGTGCATGCCAACTTAGTGGGAGCACGTGTCCTGTTATAATTTTGGATCATGAATAGTTGTCAAAATAAATAAAAATAATAATTTTTTAAGTATTTTGATTTTGAGTCACCATTCACGAACTGTTTTAGCATTGTATAAAATATAACAATTTTGCATCAAATATATTTTATAGTCATAATCGAGATTATAGCTGTCTAAAAATAAAAATATCAAAAAACAAAACACGTGTTGACCTAAAGGCATCTTCCCTTTTCTTTCTCTTTTTCTTTTTCTTTCTTTTTTTCGGGAATCAAACACCTAAGAGGCTAGACAACCAACCCACCTCTTCATAAATATGATACCAGCAGTGGACCAACTCCATAGTAGAGTTCAAGTGTCTCACGGAGAGGATTATTATGTGGGACCTTGTTGGCCACACCATTATTGTATTACTTACAACCTAGTGTATATATTACATATTACTATGGGATGACAAAACAATACGAAGACAGTGTCAGAGGTTCTTGTCCGATATCGTGTAGGAATGGGTATTCGTTCTTGTTTCATATCAGATTCGGATGAAAAAGAAAAAAAAAAATTAACCGTATAAAAATAGATCCATGTAAAAATGAATATGCAACACTATTTACCAATTTCATTATTTATTCTTGAAAAATCGATCTTCTCGATCTATGGTTCTATATATAATATATCAAGCTTATAGATCAAGTGCTTAAATAAATATATATATATATAGGTAGTAATTCAACTAATTTTGCATCCATGATTAAAAAAAAAAGGTTGGTGTGAAATGCAATTTCTGTGAAAATGATCAAGCAATAGATCCCTATTTCAAATTAAATTCAGAAATTTGTCATTTTGAATTTATAAATCTGTGATGGACCAGTACAGCCTTAATGATGGTCAGTAACAAAACTAATTATGAACATTACAGGGAAAGGTTGAGGTCTAAGCCGCCGCCACCACCACCACCACCTTTATCTTCTTCTTTTTCATCTTCGCTCTTCTTAGAAGGACCTGCAGCCATCATTGCTAGGGTTTCTGCCTTACCAGCTTTAGACAGATCACCAAAATCCTCCACGAAATCCTCCGGTATGAACGCCGGCTTCCAAACTGCAACCCTCTTGTCGTCCTCCGCCGCCGCCGCCGCCTTCTTCGTGGTGCCTCCGCCGCCGGTCATCATTCGGTCACGCACCTCTCGGATATTTTTGATCAGAGCAAAAAACTTCTCCATCTTCTCCTCCTCGTCTTCTTCATCCTCCACCTTTCTCTTCCTTCTTTCCCCATTCATACTACACAATATTGTTTTACATAACCTTTCAAAAACAAAAACAAAAACAAAAACAAAAAAATTGTTATATAAAACTTATATGTAATTCCATCAAGAAACGCAGAAGGTTAGAGAGAGAAAGAGGAGTACCATAATGTTTGCTTGTTTACCGGTGAACTACTTGCAGTTGAGACGACTTTATATATAGAGAGTGAGAGAGAGGGGGAGTCACGGTTTCGTGAAGGTGCGCGCACACACCCACGCAAATATGGTGACGTCATAAATTCAATTTTCTCTTCAAACATTTTCAACTTATTTGAGATCTGAAATTCCAATAATTTCAATTGATTTATGTGATTTTCTTATTATTATTCCAATAGATAATCACATAGTAATGTTATAAATAATATTTTTTTGTGTAATTTTAATTAATAATGTGAAGTAAGTGTATTTTTATCACGATAACGAAAATCTATCAAATATTTTTCACAAATTATAAGATCTCAGTGTTTTCATAGAAACAAAACACACTGGGTGTGTGTTTATTTTAAATTCAAAAAAAAATATATATATATATATATATATATATATATGTATATATATCAAAGGAATAAAATTTCAGTCCTGTTGCCGTGTTTTTGTGGAAGATTTCACTCCGGATAACAAAAAAGGTCGTTTATCATTTTCCAAAAATTGATTGGATGGGTGGGTGGCAGAAGAATCTGTGTGGTTAGGGTAATATGGCCCATAACCTCATGTTTCCCCTCCCCCCCCCCCCCCCACCGACTCTATGTGACAGAGCCCATACTCTCAATGTGACAATTGATATATATATATATATATATATATATAGATATATGTATATATATGTGACGTCTCGCTTTTGTTGATGGAAATACCATCACGTCCCCACGCGTTTTTCCACTTCCCATTAAGATCCCATCATCCTTCACTGTTCACTGAGTCATCTGACTCCTCTTTCTTCTTATCCCTTCTTTGGATGGCCTCCCATGGATTTGATCATCAATCCAAGTGGATATTGAATTTAATGCCCAATCCCATTCAAAATTCACTCGCAATTGAATTTGAATTCCGACTTTAAATTTAAAATTGATAGAGGGATACAAGTTCGTCTAAAATAGTAGGCACAAGTGAAAAAAAAAAAAAACTTATCAATTATCGAGTGAAAAATATTCTCTGCAATACAAATAGAACCCTCATCTATGCCAACATTATAAAAAGGACCCTCCCGATCATCGGACCACATTTTCTAACGTTGACACCACCAAAAAAAAAAAAAAAAAATCACTTATTAATTTATATAAAAATTGTAAAATATCACAAATATAAAATACCCATAATACCCTTCAGGTGTTATTTTGCAACTAACCAATAGTTCATAACAAAAATAAATTGCTTAGTTGCAAGATATGTGAATCACTTTTAGCCTTGTGAATTAACAATAATAATAATAATAATAACAACAATACTAATAGTGGTAGGAGTAACTGATGGGAAAAAATAACTCTATTTTGACCGATCATTATTTCTCGTCAACTTGCTTAGGATAAAGATGTTATCATTATATTCACGAGGATAAATAAAATTGGTTATTGATGATAGAGCGAATTTCAACCATGACGCCTGCTCAACGAACTCTGTTAATGATGGAAGAGTTCTTAACCATCGACATCAGTTGATAGTTCAAGGATTTTGATGTACTTTTGTCAAAAAAAAAAAAAAAAAAGTAAATTTTTTGGTGAGAAAGGGCGCAGGAAAGATTAAAAAAAAAAAAAAAAAAGATGAGTAAATTTTCTTCCTTCTTGTCCCACAAATTTTAAAGTTAATTGTTTGGTTAAAAAAGATGGCGGAAAGAAGTATAGAGAAGAAAAGATGAATGGGCGTGGGCCATCCTTTTTGTCCCACAAATTTTAACTGAGAAGGAATAAATTGACAATATTTTCTGTCAAAATTATTGTGTATCAATTTATATAATGAGGGTATACTAATTAAAAATATATAAAAAAATCTCTCATTCCTTTCATTTTAAGTTTTTAACAAAAGAAAAAAATGTATCCCCTAAAAAGTGAAGAATAATACACCTTCCTTTCTGGATGACCGAAAAATCATTACATAATCCGAGACTTATATGGTCTGACACCCAAGTTTTCTTTTTTTGCTTGTATACCATGGTGAAGATTAGAACACAAAAATCTGTGAGTTTTGCTAGTCTTCTACCCATCGAACCCCGTGTTTTGCCCAGAGATAGAAGGCTTCAACTGGACCTCTACCCCCCAGCTCGTACAGTTCCGGTGCTATATTGCTCTTGTCTATCTCATCCAAAACCGGAGACAAAATATTCCATGCAGCAGTAACCTCATCGCTTCTCATAAATAGATGGTTGTCTCCGTCAATGACATCAAGAAGCAGCTGCTCATATGAATCAGGTACTTCCACATTATACCTAAAGTATTAACACAATGGAAATGAGGTCTTGAGATAAATGTGGAAATGTGCACAAGGAGCAAAAGTTTCACAGCAATAAACAGCTTACTTATCCTTGTATAGCAAATTCAGTTCTGAAGCATCCAACACCAAGCCTAATCCTGGAATTTTATTGTTAACCTTGAGTAGGATTGCTTCATTGGGAACGTCACGTAAAATCAGCTCATTAGTGGCAAGATCAATGTTGTGCCCTATGCGATCACGATATATGCTTCCAGGAACATGATGAAACTGTATACGTATCTCCACTCTACGTAATAAAGTTCATATGGGTGAAGAAATTCTATAATGCAAGCCTAATACAAACATAAACCAAATTTATAAAGTTAATATATACAGACAGTAATTATCTAGTAATAAGCATAATGCAAGTGGATCCCCCTCCCAAAAAATAAATAAAGAAAGAATTAAAAGAAAAATAGAATAGAAGACCGTGAATGAAAACGGAAGGGTTTCTTAATTATTACACGATTCCAGCCCTTCTGTGTTTGAGCATTATCACCAAGAGAGGATGCAACATCTAGAAGTGCTTCTTGTGGCACAGAAAGGTAAAAGATTCTGTTTGCTTCAGATTGCCCCTGAGGTAAGCAAGCTGTTAAAGAATCAATTACCAAAAGCCTCCAAACTGTACAATTAGGACTTATTAGAGGCTGATCGAGCATCAGGTGGTTCTCCAAACTATTGACCTGATCTCTTTTACTCTAAGATTACCTCAATCTGCTCCATCCGGGTATGGAGCTTTGACATCCCTTCCATGTTGTCATGACCTCCGTTCAGATAGTATGTTCTACTAAGAAAAGCATCCAGTTTGTCCTCACAATTTTGCCTGCAGCAGAGTAATACTTTCTATTCTTGGTTAATAAAAATTGAACATTTAATATAAAACTACTATATATGCAATTATCCATGTGTGTGTGCGCTCCACTCTGTATACACCAAAAATCCAATAAGGATTTGTGTTAAAAGACAAAAAATTAGATTGAAGACGTAGTTTGCTGTTGCACTTGAATCTCAACTAATTAGCTAATTGGCTTCTGGCTGTATGCACTTCAATGTTATAGTAAAATAAAACACTTCCACCCACAAAATATAAGGACAAGCCAGGAGTTATGCAAGCCATCCACAATGCTACTGATTATTTTTATCTTTTTCAGAAAGTTGAAAGAGGGCAATCTCTTTCTGTTGAAAGTTTTTAATGAAATGATTAAATGCACAAAATTATAGACTCTTGCAAAATCTGTCAGCTACAAGTTTTAATCTGCTCCGCAAGCCAAATGGAAAGTAAGCAACCTACAGAATTTTGATGCATGCCACAATTTTCTTCTGGAAATTAATAAGTTGAAGGGTTTAAATAAGAAATTTGTTTATGAGGAAACATAAAAGAATAATTCAAGATTATCTGAAACGAGGACCGTACTGATGATCAATGCGGCAAGTTAAAGTTGATGCTATCATGGATCTGAGATCTTCATCCTTCAAATTCTTTCTCGAATAACCAAAAATACCAACATTCTGCAGCCATTAAAGCAAAAGTGAGGCTGGAAATTTTACAATATATTGTTGGCAAAACAAATTGTCGATCCAATTCATAAAGTATCTAATTCTATTTCAACATCAAAATCATGTTAATTGCCTCAACCCAAAACTATAAAACCTTGTTTTTCTTAGTATTTTTCATCCCCTTATATTTTTTCTTACATTTTGCATCTCAAAGCCCAAATTTTGATTTACCAGTCATCTCTAGACTAAATTTACTCATGATTCATGCAGATAATCTTTTGAGTTTCTGCAGAGAGGCTTGAAATTCAATATGAGTTTAAAGTAATAAGACGTGGACATAGTGGCCAACTAGAGTAGGGAGCATAGCTGTCCTAGAAGATTAAGTGGAGTTCTATTTTTGGATTTCTGTTCAACCAACCAATACTCTTATTTGTAAATTATCAAACCACCTTCGCAGAATAACCTATGATATTGTTCGCTTACAAGTTATTCATTTTAAGGATCACTCAAACATAATAAAATCAAATTTTCAAGTAAATGACAAACTTTACTGGCTCAAACGCCCTCTTCAGGAGAAAAAAACAAAAACAAACAAACAACAGCAGCAGCAGCAGCAGCGGTAACATATAAGGATATACAGCAAAGGAGTCCAAGATACACTCAATATTCAACATAATGATCATAGAAATGAGACATATATAAAAGAAAATTGAAAATGACAATAGTGAATGACATATTTAGAAATATCAGTTACTATTTCATACAAGCTAAGAAAGTAAGCTCAAACTGGAAGGGAAAAAAAAAAAAAAAAAACTACTGCAATAAAATTATTGAAGTAGTTCTACCTCAGGAAGAAAGCCACTGTAATACAGAGCAAATAGTGCAGGAAAAATCTTACTCCTCGCCAGTTCACCAGTAGCTCCAATGACAGCTATGCAAAGAGAGGGTGGTCGAGCACCCTTGTCATCATTATTGAAGGAGTGAGTTTGAGGCGAAGGTGGAAATTCCATGGCAGCAACTCCTCTCGTGGAAATACCAGGTTTAGAATTAGGTACAGAACTTAGTTCAGTCTGGGAACTTGTCTGCATTACCTCTTCAGTTCTTGGGAAGGATGAAGGAGATTCTATGGATGTGGCTACGCCAGTGGAAACATCAGGTTGAAAATTTAGTAAAGAACTTTCTCCAGGCTGTAAAGCCGTCTTCTTCGGTCCTTCATTGGAGTCTGTATCTTAAGCCACATAAATTATGAGAAGTTTCAGAATTTTATTGTTAAAGTTGAAAGAAAATACAAATCACAAATAAGATGTTTCATAGATTAGAAATACACTAGATCTTAATATGGCTGTTTTATATTTTTTGTAGTTTCCAGAAGAAAGAAGAAAAGATGAAGCAGGATTAAAAACTCAATAAAACCAAGTAATTTCATCAAGTTCTAATGCTTTTAAACTTTTTCCTTGGGTACCCAATTATAAGAAAACCAATTCAATTTTACGTTATATTAATCTATTTTTTTCCTCCCTCTTCTCGGCATCAAAATAAAAATATAATGACACACACACATATATATATGCAAGTATAAATGCGTACAGGGAGAAGAAGAAAGAGAATATTACTAACCATTTGGCAAATGGAACATTTGTGCTCCTTCAGAATCTTGACCTTCAGATTTTTCCACATGCTCTGTCGAATTATCTTTATCTTGAATATGTAGACTTTTAAACTCATTTCCCTGTTCACGCTTTCTATTGGGATAATGTTCAAAAAGTAGAGAATGTGTAAATCATATAATGTGAAAGAAACAGAGCAAAGCTACTTTTTCCAATATGTTTCAAAGTTGGTGCTAAGATAATAATTTACTTAGTTTTAAATAACTCTAAAGTTTATAACTCACATGCAAATTTCGCATGCCATCCACTAGTATCAAAACAAAAAGGAAAACAAAAAATTTTAAAAAAAAAAAAACCTAAAAGATGTAAATATTATAAAGATGAAAGCAAGTCCAGTAAAAAAAAAAAAAATTGTTCATCTTGGTTTGATATGTGTGAAAATATGAACACATCTTTTTTTTTTCATAATTGAAAATATGAACACATCAATAACAGAAAATTTAAACTTTATAGTAAAACTGCTTGAATGTGTATTATAATCCATTTTTCAAACTGTATCTATGAAAGAACGGTCAAACTGAATTTATAAAACAAATGAAAGTCTCACAAAAATATTTTCAATGTGTATAGCAACAGGATCACTAATGCTCAATCAAAAAATGTTAAATACAGTCTTAATTCTATTAAGGCAATCATCAAAAGCCTCAATTCTATCATTTTAAAGTAGAATAAATAAAAATAAAACAACAACAACAATACAACATCAACATCAAAAACCTCCAATTCAAAAATCTGGTGCTTAGATTCACTAGTCTATAACCAACGTTTTGCAATAAAATAGATCAACAAATCACTTATTAAAAAAAAAAACAGAGCAAAGCTACTTTTTCCAATTTTGTGAAATCATTAAATTTACAACATGTTTCTTCGAATTTGTTTTCACAGTTAATGAATATATCACTTTAGTCGAAAATTTTGTATCAAATGTAGGCCATATATGATGAAGGTGGCCGGAATTTCTGGGTCCACAACACTGGGCCATTGGGTTGTCTCCCTCAAAAGCTTTCTTTAGCTCAAAAGAGTCCCAAAGATCTTGATCCCCATGGATGTCTTTCGAGCTATAATGCAGCTGCAGGAGTTTTTAATGAAGGACTACGCCAATTATGCCAAGAAATGAGATTTGAAATGAAGGATGCTATGATTGTCTATGTAGATATATATGCCATCAAGTATGATCTAATTGCCAACTCTAGCAAATACGGTAAGCTTATTAAATTTATCTTTCTTCCAATTAGTGAGTTAAAAATTTTCCGACCCTTTTTATGCTGCAATCATGATGATTGGGATCAGAGTTAATTTGCTAGTGCTTAGAACATTCATGTGATAGTAAGATGCATCGAGAGAGCTGGAGGATCCTCGTAAACTTAAATTGTCTTGCATGAGTTTCAGATGAAAAAACAAAAACCAAAAGACAGAAAAGGATTTTAAGAACTAGATATATAGAAGTATTCCATCTAGGATGAATTAAGTTCATTGTGTGGACAATTTTTTTTAGATTTTTTCTTTCTTTTTTTTTTTTCTTTTTTTTTTTTTGGGAATGGTAAAGCAAAAACACACCCTTTTTGCCCATGTCTGCGCTCAAACCCCTCCCCTCTTCTTTAAGGATGGGGAGGTTATACCATTGGGCCAAAGGTCCTTAGGTTTATTTAGACTTTTTTGTGCTAACAAATTATCAATTGAAGGATTTTGATTACTTCAATTTTGTAGGTTTTGATGTATCATGATATCAGTACCTTAAAAGTTATTAGTACTCTCCGATTTAGATTTTTTTTTCTTTGTTAGTTGGTACTCGTACACACATGCCTCCACTGAGGTCTGAACCCGTGAGCTCCCTTTGGAAAGTAAGAGTATGCTACTGCTAGGCCACTGACTGGCCTATTGGTTCCGATTTAAATAGTTTCCTCCCTCATTTTTTTTCTTTTTTAACATTGATCCAATGCAAGTTCACTCAACTTGTGCAAATTCTTAAAATGCTCGGGGAATCAAATTTTCAGTGTTTGATGGATATTCCAACTCAGTTGAGAAATCTTTTCAAGAAGAAAAATAAAGCTTGACATCTTTAATAGCTTATAGTTCTTATTTCACCTTTCAGGTTTCTCAAATCCACTAATGGCGTGTTGCGGCTATGGAGGACCACCATACAACTATAACATTCAGGTAACGTGTGGTCGGACTGGCTACCAAGTCTGCAACTTGGGATCTCGATATATAAGTTGGGATGGAATCCATTACAGCGAAGCAGCGAACACCTTTATAGCCTCCAAAATACTTTCCATGGCCTATTCAACACCCAGCGTCGCATTTGATTTCTTTTGCCTTGCATGATTGTTCGTCAAGACATTTTGGTATCATTATTTAATTTGTTGCAAAAATGCATGATGAAATGTTTACGAAAATGGAACTGTTTAGGGTTTCTCATTGCTTCTGGTAGATTCAGGTTTAGCATTATCTTTGAAATGCCAGACCTAATAGGAATATATCACAAAATTGTTCTTTTTCAAAGTGACAAAACTTATAGTTGAGGTATTGATGAAGAGAACATTAGGTCATAAGAAATTACATTGGTAGCAAATTTCGACACAGATCATGTACACAAACTCCCGAGAAGACATCTCGATAAATTAAATCGAGTTTCACATCATTCTTAGTTGAGTTTATTTGACAGGTATAGTCTTGAGCTTTTCATTTAGTTCAATTGAGTCTCACATCACTCTTAATTGAGTGTACAAGAGTTTTCAAATCTCAATTTCGGTAAAACTCTTAGATTTTTTTAAATCATTATATATATATATATATATATATATATATATATATATATATATTTATTTATTTATTTACTTTTACACTACTACTCTTTTATAACTTGAGGGCCACACGTGCATGTACACACTGAATTCTAAACCCAATTAATTTGACCACGCGTTTATAATTTTTGACACAAATTCTAATCACATGTACATGTTCCCACTGCACACATGTTTTACACTCATTGACAAATTTAATTTACTGTACATTTTTTTCTTTTGCACTTGTGGGTGGAATGTTTTAGTAAAAATCGAAAATACGATTTTGAAAACAAAAATGTTAGGTTCACGAAGTGTTTTAACACTGTATAAAATATAGGATAAATTACACTCAGACCCCCGAGGTTAGGACATATTCCAGTTAGATGAAGATTTTGGTTTTGGATTTCACATATATTTGAATTAGTAGTTTAGTATTTCATTCACACCCCAAATGTCATTTTTCATGGGTGGCAGAGTACTTTTACATGCAAAATGACTATGTTGCCCTTCTTGACTAACTCTTAACTTACAAGAATGATATTTTAATTTTTGAGGACAAAAATACCCTTCACCCAACTTACCCCTCTCTACTCTCCCTCTACAAAAACACATGCACATCTTCTCCAAAACCAAGAATGTTACAGACCCATGCCCGCCACCTCTACCACCAGTCACCACCACAAGTCACATACATATATATACACACTCGCACATGATAAGTGCTTAAATGTTGCACATTTCAGCACCTAAGGTAGGGTATTTCAGTCTTTGCATCTATCTTAATTTCATGTTTTAGTCCTAATTTATATTTATGTGTATTTCAGGGCAATAAAGTTAAAATGAGCTAAGAACGGTCCATTAAAGCCTTTTTGGAGTTAAGAAAAGATATTCAGAAAAAGTTCAGAAAATGACAAAAAGAGGTCGTAGCCCACTGCTCGTATAGTGTGTTTATTCTTCGAAAGCGGTCAATCTCGGGCCTTTGATAATGTTCACAAAGATGAAGAAGCAAACCAATAAGCCCGAGACCAAAATGGAGCTAAATAAGGCTTAAAGGAAATTTCCAACTCTGGGGGGATCGATCCACCAAGAGTTGGCAACATTACAGATTTTTTTTATTGTTTGGGCTTATTTTGTGAACTATTAGGCTTTAATAGAGTTGTTACTTAAGGCCCAGTGAGCCATTAGATTAAGGTTAATATTTATTTTATTTAGGTGAATATTATTAGAATTTTTTTTTTTTTTTTTCTGCACCGTGATATCACGTTCTCTCTGGGAAAAAAGAAAAGGTAGGGGTTGAAGAACATTTTTATAGAGGCTTTGTCTACAATTGAAGGAAGAAGAAGAATGAGCCAAAAGATGGAGATGGAGCTTGTTGACACCATGATCATCTTCTCCATGAGCTAATTCTTCACTTAGGGCTTGGATGAGCCCTAAGTTCATGCAACCCTAACCTTTGTATTTCTTTTCTTGGGGAATTATTATGTCGTAATTAAATTATATGGCCTTGTGATTTCTTTATATATACATGCTTGATTTGATAAATTAGGGTTTGTAATGATGAATTCTTCCATTGAAATCTCCAATTAATTGTATGTCTATGTATGATTAATTAGGGATTTTATTCTTCATTAGATGATTAGAACTTAATTCTTTCATTAATTCTATATGTAATTTGCATGTCTATGTGTGGTTGCTTTAGGATTATATTCTACATTAAATACTTCTTGTAGTTATGTTTAGTGATGGCCATAACATGATACTTATTTGATACATTTGTCAATTAATTTGATGGATAAAGGCTTAATCTTGATGGGTTGTTCTACACATTAGCTTTCTTGTTATTAGTTAATTGTAGTTAAGTAGGCAATTTGTGCTTGATTATGTTAATCCATACTTCTAATTACAATTAGTATTATTCTCTTGATTGATGTGTGCTCTTATTTGATACATTTGTGAATGTGTATGGTGGGTTATGACGTAGTCTTGAATGGGTCCTACACTTTAGTTTAATTGCCATTAGGTAGACAATTCATTCTTGATGTTGATAATCTATGCTTACAATTGTGATTTGTGATGATAATGTGACCACATCTATAATTACACTAATGAATTCCCCATTAATTGAAAGTATATGGTTAATTGCATGGGCTTAGTGGTGAATCATAACCCTAAGACTCTCTTCATATCTCTTTAATTCTTAGTTTAATTTAATTTAATTTACTTGCATTGTCATTTCTATTTCCATGTTTTCGATTTAACTCTAGTTTAATCACTTCACCAAAAATCTTTCTCTCTCTCTCTCTCTCTCTCTTGTGCAATCTCATTAGCACTAAAATCAAGTTTAATCCCAACACGTGTTCAATCCCTTGGGTTCGATCCCTACTCGCTTCATACTACATAGTATAAGTGTTTAGTGGTTTTATAAATTTTAAAATATGATGCCCACTTGATATTATTTCTAAACCTAAAGTGTTGTGCATTATTTTGTGCACACGCTCGGGTTGTATCAGCACACATATACAATCTTTTCCCCTCCCTCACCAAACCTTAATTTATACACAAAATTAATAAATACAGTCAAACACACATATACATTATATATCTATATCTACATAAACACACTATATATCTATGTGGTGGTTGTGTGCCGTCTATTTTCTGACCTGTCGACGGCATTGTCGGCTTCTCTTCCTCCTCCTCCATCATTGTCGGTGGCATCTTCCGCTTCACTGTTGCCTTCTGTGCCTTTGGGCAAGTCGAGGCAGCCGAATCTGAACAATTGCCTGAGCACGCCTCGCCGAGTCACAGCTTTTGAACACACCCAACCCGACAAACATCCCATCGTATATTCCATCATCTGCGCCTGTGAATCCAACACCGCAGGTTACTTTGGACCTCTGCCAGAAGGGAAACTCTGCCCAAAACCCACAAATCGCTGCTCTTCGACGGCTGTGAATCTAACTCTACACCGCAGCTTCTATCTCGGCGCAGCATAATACCAGCCGACGGCAGCAATTTCGATGAGATTACTTGTTCCTCGCCGGAATTCGAAGGCGACACCATTTGCACCATCGCCACCGGAATTGACGCCGCCGTAGCCCCTGCTACGACGAGGATACATTTTCCCATTTAAAGGCTATCATTGTCACAGATCGTCATCGTTATTGCAGATTGTTGTCACTGCCGCCGCCACCGCTGGAAATTGCGTCGATGATTGTCGGATCGTTTTGTGGTGTGTTGTTATCATTGTTGCAGATTGTTTTCACTGCCGCCGCTGCCACAAATTACATCAATGGTCATCGAATCGTCCGGTGGTGTGGTGCGGTGTGGTGATTGTTAAGAAGGTGTTTTGGAACTTTGACGGGAGAGGGAGTGTGTGATTTGCTCTTAATGATTTTCACCATAAGCAAGCTTCCTGTTTTGCCCCTGGCGAGATGAGAATCTCCGACCAACCTGTGATGGCGATAGTGACTTGAACGACAGTGGAAGGGGAAGCGGTGGTGATGTGCTACGGCTACTGCTGCCCATTTTTTTAGATAGGTGAAAGAGAAAAGGGAAATAGTGATTTGGAATATTAGTATTTCATAGGATATTTTTGCCATTTTAATTTGTAGAAATTTTGTATTAAATTGTATTGAAAAAGGTGAGGGTAAATAGGTCAATTCACATGTGTCAAAGTTCAAAAAGCAATTTGGGGTATAAGTGAAAATTAAAACCAAAATTTTTATATAGGTGAAATATGACCTAACTTCAGAGGGTGTCGATGTAATTTACTCTAAAATATAACAAAGTTAAACATATTTTTATTGTCAAAATCGATACTGTAATCATTCAAAAATAAAAATAATAAAAACAAAACACATGTAAAACAGATTTTAACATTAAATTTAAAGGCATCTCCCCTTTTCTTTTTCTTTTTCTTTTTTTTCTTTTTCCCGAGAATCAAACACCAAAGGGCCTGTTCGGAGGCCCATATCTGATATTGTTTTGGTGTTTTGATTTTGGTTTTGGGCCAATATCATGTTTGGAACGGGCTGATATGGTATTTAACAGTGCCAAAACATTATCATTTTCGGGCCAAAACCCATATCAACATTTTGGTGATATTAGACTGATATGGCACTGTAGCGGTGAATTGATCTCAAACCAAAACCAAACCAACCCTCATTTTTACTGTAGCAGTGATATCACGTATATAAGGTCGCATATCAGATTTTAGGGCATTTTTCAGCGTCGTTTCTCTCTCTTCGCGTAGCTCCCTAGAAGGCGACTTCAGTGGCGATCCAACCTCTTCCACCACCGATCTGGCAGAGCTCCTCCACCAGGTATCTCATTTTGTGTCTCTGTTTGTATCTATAGATCACATATATCTTCGCTTTTGAGATTTACATTTGGGAGGTCCTCGTGTTCATTTTCTCTCTCTAATATTGTGACAATCAGAATCTATATTGCGTTTCCAAGTTCTGATATTTATTCCAATCATGTTGTGAGTGTTGTAATTTAGGGCATTTGTGTCCAGATCTCAAGTTTCATGAGGCTGTGACGGAGATCTAGGGTTTGATTTTAGCCCTGTTTCTGGGTTTTTTCTTCTATCAACCATGGTTCTGATATAAGGGTTTATATGTCA